AGCGAGTTATAGTGAAACTTTTTGAAGCGGATCGATATAAATCGACACTCGGGGCTTGGTCACGTGTGCGCTTTCTTTTCGATCGCGCACCCAACAGCCAGCCAGCCCGCCCACCCACTCACTCATGTAATTGTCATCGCGGTCGTAAGGGTAGAAACGAGAGACGGACATGCGCGATACTTGGGTTTCTCCCGCACACTGTAGCTGGTAACAACGCAGTTGTGATGGTAACATTCATAGTGCCGCAGTTCTATCGGCCGTACAATGCGCGCGTCTCAATGATTGTTAAGTCACCCGGGGCTAATCGCGCGTTCCGTAACTTTCGGAATTAATAGTTTTGCGATTAACCGCGCGCGATCGACCGTAGAAACGTTCAAGTGCTTTTGCACGAGGCACACCGCGTCGGTCCCGGCGTTGTTGACACTGCACATTTCCGCCGTGTTCCATGCGAAATTTCATTCGGCCGGCCGATCGAAATTCAACCGTACCTGCGAGGCGTATCGAGTTGCCGAATGGAGTTCCGGTTCTCAATCGGATGATCTCTTTGAAGAAATCGCCCCAGTGATGATCGAATTATGCAAAGTGGACGTTTTCGAAATGAAATCCAAGCGATAACGTAAAATAGGGCGCAAGTGCATCGAACTCGGCGGAGATATTAAAGAACCGATCGATCGGAAGCTCCCGTTAAGTGCGCGAAACGACCGTGGACGATGAAAACGCGAGTAAAAATGACTCTTGTTGTCCCGGACGTCGCTCTCAGAATAATCGACGAGTTTAAAGCCGCGAAAACCACCGTTCGCGACGGTGCACGCGAATCTTAGGGGAAACTTCGATAAGCAAACTTAATACGGCAACACTTTAATAACGCTCGAGTCTGCCTGTTGAGCCTGCCTCGCGTTCAAAGTTCGAGGAGAAAAGACTGTGAACTTGACATATCGCGTCTACGACCTCCACCTCCACGAGCCGTCGTCGGTGCAATAAGTAGGCTCGTGCTCAAGACCGTGTCGCCGTTTCTCGTTCATCCAGGTCCCTCGAAACTCTCGAGTCTCCATCGAGTTCCACCTGTGACATTTTTCGAAACACTGACCGTGATGAATAAGATAAGGATGCCCGAAAGTATGAATGATGGGCCGCAACAAGAGACATCGGGACGTCTCTCCGTGGACGTTACGGACGGACAGAAATGTCGGTGACTCGCGACTCAAAGGCGCACCGAAGTCTCCGATGTAAAAGAATTCGGCCGAGGATTCGGGCCGAGCCCGACGACGTTCAAACGACAGATCGATCGTGAAAGCCAGGTCGAGAGATGCACGTCCGATCGCAACGGTTGGGCGCTCGTGGAATCTCCATGGGCGCGCAAACATGGGCGGTTCAGGAATACGACTCCGCGCTCACGAATCTGGAGACCAGGGTAAAGATCACAGAGTCTCGTAAATCGTTCAAACACACCCCATCGACGCCCTCATCCGGGCAAGCGGAGTCTGCTGGGCCCCCGAAGCCGCTTCTCACGTGTATTGAACGCTTATATATATTAAATGCCACACTTTCGTTCTATCTGAGATTTAACGACTTGAGATTCCTTTGTTCATTTTATTGTCAATTTTAATATTATTTCCACGAGAAACAATAGGCTGAGTAATGTACTGGAAAGATTTCCAGGGAATATTTTCGCTTTTGCAACTTTGCCCGACTGCGTTGTAAGTGCAGCTTGCCCGGGTAAAGGTTAACTTTGACGTAACATGTTGGACCTACGAGGCCTACACGTTTCCTTTCGCTCGCTCCTTTTTCCACGTTTTCTGCAAAACACCATGGCTCCATTCCTATTCCTCTGTTACTCAGAGAAAACTTAGGTTCACGTTACCGCTGCTATTGTCAGCCTGATTAATGAGATAATTGGTAATAAACCTGGTAATTCGTAAAAGATGCAAAAAGCGAATTTTTCCCATTTTCTCACGAAGTAGGCCCGAGAGACGTATGATATTATTTTAGCGTAAAGATTGCGAGTTAAGATAGACTCTTCGGGTTAAGATAAGTCGCGATCATAAAACGGTACATGATCACGATGAAAACGAAAAAAAGACGGATAGATCGACAGATAGAACGTTTTTATCATATCATCCTGAGACATTTCCTCTCGGGACGTTACAGTTATAATATTACCGTGCGAATTGATGTAGAAAAAAAATTAAGAAATAAATAAAAAGATACGCGGTGCAAGTAGGTGACCGTATCGTAAAGCGGGTCAACGTTGAATATTTCGCAAGGTGCACGCGCACTTATCGGCGGCATATCCCGAAGCGGAAAAGGAGAAACCGCGAACGAGGTGCGCGCGCGGGAGAAACGAGAATGTTGCTTCCTCTATATATGGTCATGTGTGTCAGAGTCGCCAGCTTCTCGAATCCCGGGTATAGTCTGAGTACGTGCCTACGCGGTTTTCGCGATTTCAACGCGATATTCACCACGCTACCCTTTTTTTCTCTCCTCTCTCCTTCCCTCTCCTCTCTCTCTCTCTCTCTCTATTTATCTATCTATCTATCTTTCTATCTCTCCTTCCGCGATGATAACGCAATCCGCGGACACGAACGCGAAGCGCTCTCTCATTGACCCGCGATCGTCGATGATATAATCGATTAGCGCGCGTTTCGCTGTCGTTATTAATTACCCTGTAGTTGAATCTCGAATCTGCGCTTGTAGCCGTACGTTGTGTGCAGGGGCAAAGCGAGGCCGATACGGCGGGGTTCATTAGGAACGAATCAATTAGTGGCGTACCTGATTGCCGATGCAGCGATCGAAGGGATATGCGATTAGGAGCCGCCGCATGATTATTAAACCGCGGTTGATCTTTGACTCTTCGTGCCGGAATTGAATTTACAACCGAGTGGAACGGCAAACGGCAATGGAATATCCGATTATTTATCCGCTTCTGAAAATTAGTGAATTATTTGTCCGATCTCTCCCTTAATTCGGCCGGAATTTACGCTTATACGTCGCTCGCGGATCACGAAAATCATCCCCCCGGCATTTCCGTCGTCGAAAGCCGATTCTGAACGTCACGAACGAACTACGTTACACAGGTTACAACGTTAACAGGTATCACGTGCCTACTCTTCGTTAACCGTTCTCTCGCCGCTCAAGTACAATCGGAGAGGCTTATTCGCGAAATATATCGATTAATGTAATCGTCTGTAATTCCCGATAATTGAACATCGCGCCGGCAGTCGAGGGTGCAAAGGGCTGAAATATCAAAGGGGGCACGGAGGGAGCGAGGAGGAAAGTGAGAGATAGACAGATATTTTTCGTCGAGTCTAGTCATCATTCACTCAGTTGGCTAACGTTACTGGCTATACCCTTTTACCATCGGCTCTCTCTTTCTATTAGTGCGAGTACGTTATTAAATAAGAGGCTGCTTGTGCAATTATCGTCTGTCTACAGCTGAACTTTATGTAATTTATGCGAACTTGCGGATGTGTGGTTTGACTGCTACAGACAAGTACGATTTTGATTACGTGAACTTGCCGCTGAATCATACTCTGTACGGTTCTTTCTACTTTTCAACCATCTACCATCCGTCGCGTGATATGTACGGGTGCCGGTGGATGGTGCCGTGAACATTCATTCCTGAAACTCTTATGTTTTAGCGTGACATTCTAGTCTGTTTCTCGATAACGGCTCCATTGTGCCGCGTATTCAGATCCACCTGTTTGTCTAATCCTCTCGGCGGACCAGACTACTTATTTTCTTTCCGTCTCTCTTGCGTTCCCGGCCTCTTACTTAGAACTGCTGCTCGGTTACGAGCTGTTTTTACGTACTGACTGATACAGTGTTGGCTCGATAGCTTCGTGATGTCGGGATATTGCGGTGATTGCGGTAAATGTGCATCACCGGCCAGTGATGTACGTTGCACCGGACGCCGCAGAACGTCGCCGCGTAACAAACGCGTCAGAAAGGTCTACGGAAACCAACCGCAGGATCTGCTGACGGCGGCTCGGTCATATCGCTCTTTTCAATGTAGGGATCTTATTTCTGATCCCTCCTCTACTGCAGCGTCAACTTATGCCACGCTTGACGACGTCGGGGGTCCGTTGCTCTCGACGACCGTCAGCTACTCCATGTCCGGCGCTGACTCGTCGCCTGCCCTCAATGCGCTCGCAGCGGCGTTGGAAGGATTTTTTCAGAATTTTTGTGACAAACTTTCGCCTAATTTCCTCAGATGTTATAAGAACCTTCTTGGATTCTCAGAAAGCAACGGGCGAATGGGTGTGCCGAAAACTTGAATTTCTCCAGTCACTAGACGGCAAGTTCCAGGGTCCCGCTGCAAAATTCGATCGATTCTCGTCTCATTCGATTAGGACAATGGAAGAATGGGAAAGTTTTCCGAGAGGAGTGATGAACTTTCTAAGCGCTGTGAAGCACTGGAAATCGAAAACAGCCAACTGAGGGCAAAGCATGAAAGAGAGAGAGAGAGAGAGAGATTTGACCCTGAGGTTAAGAACCCCTTTAGGTCCACAATAGTAAAAAAACATTGAACGTAATAGTTAGACATGTTGCTTGAAATTTACAATGCTTAGCTTAGGTATTATTACACGTAGCTACAAAGTAAAAACGATGTGAGAATTCTAGAAACTCTGAATTGACCGCATTCCGTTCAGAAAACTCCAAATAGAGAGAGAGAGAGAGAGAGGGAGAGAAAGAGAGCGAATTCGAAGAGTAAGCGAGAGACGAATGATCCGTTTTAGCGTACTAACGAGTTTACTAACCCCCTGGCATGTAGGTTAGAAGAGAATCGATGAGGCAGCGCGCTATGTGCATATGCATCGGTCTAGCTATAGAGCCTCGCAGTAGGTAGAGACTCGCGCGCGTGCGATAGACCACCGACTCGTCGTCGTCGTCGTCGTCGGCCGCCAGTTCGCATGCGAGCCGACGGTTCTAACCGCGTGAACGTCGGCCCGCATCTCCGCCGCGACATGCTGAAATTCAAAGCGAATTACACGGCTATACAGGCCCGCTTCCAGCAGAAGCAGCTGCAGGAGAAGGAGCAGAAGCTGCTGCAGCTGTACGACCAGCAGCAGCAACGGGCCTATCAGGTGGTGCAGCGCGGTAGCGCCGGTTCCAACGGCTCCAATCATGGCTCCACGATTCGAACCACCACGACAACCCACTCGACCTCGACCTCGCAAGGTGGTAAGGTAAGTGTTTCCGGGAAATAATCATTAATGCCGTGCATCACCTTACGCGTCAGAGATCGAGTGAATACTCGCACCTGATGCCATTTTGTTTTTATCGCGTGTCCTCTTTGCTTCCGGCGGCAATTTTCGGAGCGATCAGAATAGTAATCCGTTTTGATGGACAGCGACGACACTAATCGATGAAATTTCACCGTTCCCGTGAGGGTGTCGCGATGAAAGACGAGTGTTCCCAAAGTTTATTGCGTTGGCTGTCGTAATAGTGACCAGTGTTATGATGCCACCGCGTCTCATCAAAATTGAGCTAATCGCATCTGCAGGAAATACGTTTACACGGCTAAATGAAATGGGGCGAAAAATACCACGACGTTCGAATTTCATTCATTCAACCGTATCTTGGATCATTCGGTCACCGGTTAAACTTTTGTACACGGAAAAAAGTCTCGGTTCTTGCAACTGAATAGAGGCCCGATGAAAACCCTTTGACAAGAAGTGACATCTCTATCGCGACTAAGAACATTCGTGTGAACATTCAGCTACATTGAGTGCTTTCCATTTAGTGACGCGAGTCGTCACAAGCATCATCTTGTCTGCGTTACTCATTGAATACGGAACGAAAGGCAAAGTGATGTTTGTGTTAATTTGTGTCACTAAATGAGAAACACCGTTTAAAACTCGGTTGTGATAATTGGTAACAATTGACCGAATAGAAACCTCCTATATTAATCCTGTTCCTACAACTGAATTTTCGTCTGGTCTGCAGACAACAGAAAATTCGGTCACATCGGCAGAGTAGCTTTTTTTTTCCGTGTACAATCAATAGAATCATCGCGTAAATCAGTATCGAAGAAGACGCTTGCGACACTGTCCAAGGCGAAGAGCACCCGAAGAAACTAACGATGCACGATCGATTGTCGCAAGGTGAGGCAAATGTTCGACGAGAGGCGGCAGACCACCGTGAAAGGGATCGACAGGAGCTACCCGCTCGAGCCGCTGGAGAACAAGCTGCGAAAGCAAACTACGAGCACGAACGGCCTAGCGGCGCAGCGAAACGGCAATCTGACGACGGTGAATAGACAGTCCGTCAACGTGAAACGCGTGGCACGCGCGGACGTCAACAGCAACGTGAACGGCGGCAAACCCGTCGTCTCTTACCGCGAGGAAGTCACTCGCGAGTCATTCGGCCCGTCCGTACACCGTCACGATGACGAGGACGAATTCGGCAGTGAGAACCGCGTCGCCACGTTCGCCAACGGACATCATCGTCACGATCTTGATAATGAGGTTGGTGAGGCTATTGGTTTAAGCGAAACGCTCTCTCACGCTTGCTTCACAATAAAGGATCAGGCGGAACCATTCGAATCGAGTTAAATGAATTCGATCTCAAGCATATGGAGAACTAACTGCAAAATATCAGTTTTTTTTTTTCATTTCTCACACGGAAAAGAAGAGTAGTTTTTAGCTCTCATAGCTAAAAACTAGCTTCCATATGTAAAAATTAGCTGTCCATATAATACAACTGAAATTTAGTTAATTTAGATAATTTCTCGTTACTATAGTGTAGTTTTTAGCCCCCGCAGCCAAAAATCATGTCTGGTAACTAAATTTCAATAGTATTATATGGACAATTAATTCTTTCTTTCCGTATGCTTGCGTGAAGCGAATTGAAATTTCAGTTCGAACGAAGCGACCACGAAGCTCGACCCAACACATTGTTGGTTGGATATATCGTCTGATTTACCTAACCTTTCAACCGGAGATAGAATTGCTATTATCGTGCAGTTGGATCAACCTTCTAGGCGGTTGAAAGAACATGTGTATCATGTACACAAGTACGCTTTAGTTTACTTAACCTTTTGCTATGGACTGAATTTTTCACCTATTAGTCTTGCGGTCAGACTGTCGATTTGGCTCTATTTTTATCCATTTTGATTCAATTGCAGTTTGTGCGACCGTGAGATTTATTTCCTTTTACTCCGTTGTTTTCAAGTACAACACTTCCGTGTAACTTCACACAGCGACACGCATTTCACCAGATCTTTTATTTTTAATATTTCTATCTTCTTACGGACTAATGTGTATCGACGCTTAACGCACAATAGGATGAAGCGTTAGACCAGGAGACGATGGAAAGAAATCGCATGATGGCGAAGCTCCACCTGATGGGATTCGACGAGAGCTTGAAGCATCGCGTGAGGAATGACCTGGATAGCGAGGAGTTCCCGGAGTACCTCATGGTCGACGTACCCGACAAACTCCCGAAGAGAAACGTCACGAAGAAATTGACACAGGCGGAGGCGCGACTCGAGCGATTCAAGAACGCGAACGCGAAGAGGAGCAACAACAACGCGCTGAAACAGCCGAGTACGACCGGCGCCGCGTTTAAGAGGCGAACCGAACAGATGTTGCCGGCTAGATCGAATTCCAGGTAAGTCGCTTTTGTCGCGCGACACCGCAGCTTATTGTCGCAAAAACGGAATTTCAATCGAGCGATAAGTTTCGATATAAAAAAAAAAACGCCCCTCAAGACGCTGAGAGAAAAATGTTTGGTATTTGTAGCTATAATATTGCAACTATGAAATATAATAAAAGAATCACAATCAGGAGAACCATTTTTCTACTGTTACTACAGTTTCAGTGATAATAATCTCACATGAATATTGCTACACAGAGAAAAATATCATTCTACTGCTAATTTAGCGATTATTCAGTTGCTTTCCTTTTTTTAAGTAATAGTTATCTTCAACAAAGAATATTTCCTTGACAGTAATTTTTAAACATACTCATCGCCAAGTCTAGAAAGGCTTATTATCATGTACTCAAAAGAAGAATTTATTCTCTTCTCAAAAATATAAACTTCATCGAGGAAAAATTAAATTCAGTTAATTTGAATGAGGCACACTGAAGTTTGTTTTTATTTAATATTCTTGATTGAACTGAATCAAACTTACCAGTATTCAGAATATATCTTGGAAAAAATTTCATGCTTATGATGAACTTATAAAATACTCGAGGTAATATTTAATTTCGAATGCAGTATGTATTTCTCTGTGCATACTGTTATTTTCGTAATTGAAGCCAAAGAGGGTGTACAGTTGAGGCCGAGAATAACTCTAATTTCTATCAGCGCGCGACTACCAAACATCAGGCGCAGTACGTAGTACTCGTAGTACGACGAGTAGAGAAAGAACCCAGTAGTTAATATTGGAAATGTGATCAGTCATTGAGAGCGGCCCCAGATAATCGCGACTTTCAATCATCGGCAACAATCTCGCTAACAAATCGCCGCTGCTTGCCAGAATTAATTCCACGCCACGTAGTTGCAATCGCTGACTACCTCCCGACCGTTACGCACCGGACAGATCCGCGACGACCGAGGGAGAATAATAATACCACCGTGTCTCTGTTTCTAATATGTGTCCGTCTAACCCTCGCCTCATCACCGGCCATTAAAGAGCGAGCATTAAAACGAAGAGAGGAAGGACGACCGGTGGACGACTAATTCGGAGAGCGTAATTAATCTCCGATTAATCTGGTGCGCGTGATGCGAGACGACGAGACGACGAAGAGAGAAGGCGTGCCGCTCTCTGCGGCCAGGCCGAAGGCACTCGATATCGCAAGCTTCACTGTCTCGGTGTGCGTTGACTTTAACCACGCGCGTAATTCAGACTTAACCTCAGCGGGTTGCGAAGAGCGAGTAACTGGCGCGACCTCGAATCGCTAATCGCTAGCTTGGGCACTTGTGTGAACCGGAATAAGACCGGCCGCTGCGAGGAAGAGTTCCTTCGCGAGCTTGCTTCAAACTCCCCCCGCATTTGCTCTCACGAGTCTGCGCCTTCTCAGAGGGAGCGAGGCCGCCGACGGGGCTTCTTCGGGCAGCGCGAGAAGCGGAAGTAGCCGAGCAGCTCGGGAGCGCGGGAACCCGGACGTCGAGACGTACCGCCGGAGCGACAATCCGCGAAGCTCCCCGGAGAAGATCGGCACGGCAACTTGGAGAAGTTACCCGCCCGATAATTACTTCAAATCGTTGACGTCCGACGGGAAAATAATCGCGAGGCGCGGCGCGAGTCCGCGGTTCCTCAGCGGAGAATTCGGCAGATCCGTTGACACCGGATCGCCGTCGGCGGATCGGCAGACGCGTGCAAGCCGGAGCACGAGTCCGGAATTTCTCTGCGGAGAGGCTGATCAAAGAGCCAGAGGATCCACGATGTCGTCGCGCATTCGGGAAATGTTGACGCAGCGAAACAGGCGATTCGAGGGGATCGCGACGAGCGTCGATCGGGAAGGTATCGACGCTAGATCAGCGTCGGCCGATCGACAAACACGCGAGACGCGCAGAAGCCGAAGCACGAGTCCGGAGTTCTTCTGCAGAGAAGACGAAAGATCGGCTACGACCATGATGATCGATCGAAGAGGATCTACGTCCTCGCGCGATCGAGAAATTTTCACGCAGCGAAGCAGCAGGCGATCCGAGGAGACCTCGACGAGCATCGACCGGAAGTACGCCGAGATCACGCGCGACAAGCGCTCCCCGAGTCCGCAATTTTTCCGCAGAGACTCCGAAAGATCGGACGCGACTGTGAGCATCAGCAAAAATGTGGATCTCAGGTCGACGGATCGAGAAACGCGTGAGACACGTGCAAGCCGCAGCACGAGTCCGGAGTTCTTCCGCAGGGAAGACGAAAGATCGGCCACGACCTTGATGATCGATCGAAGAGAATCGACGTCTTCGCGTGATCGAGAAGTGTTATCGCGGCAAAGCAGGCGATCCGAGGAAACCTCGACCAGCATCGACCGGAAGTACGCCGAGATCGCGCGCTCCTCGAGTCCGCAATTTTCTCGCAGAGACTCCGAAAGATCGGACGCGACTGTGAGCATCAGTCGCAAAAATGTGGATCTCAGATCGGTGTCGGCGGATCGAGAAACACGTGAGACACGTGCGAGCCGAAGAAGCACGAGTCCGGAATTCTCCCGCAGGGAAGGTGAGAAATCGGCGACGACCATGACGGCCGATCAAAGAGCCAGAGGGCATACGATGTCGTCGCATATTCGCGAATTATTAACGAAGCGAAACAGGCGAACCGGAGGAACCACGAGGAGCGTCGATCGGAAGTACGCTGACACTACGCGCGACAAGCGCTCCTTGAGTCCGCCATTTTTCCTCAGACAGTCCGGAAAGTCCAGCGCGCCTGTGAGCATCGATCGCAAAGGTATCCACTTCAGATCAGCGTCGGCCGATCGGCAGACGCGCGGGACACGTACAGGTCGAAGTACGGGTCCGGAATTCTTCCGCAAGGAAGGTGAAGGCTCGGCCACTACCGTCATGTCGGATCGAAGAAGATCGACGTTCTCGCGTGATCGGGAAGTATCAACGCGGCGAAGCGGACGATTTGAAGGAACCTCGAGGAGCACCGATCGAAAATATGCCGAAACTACGCGCGAGAAGCGCTCCTCGAGTTCACCATTCTCTCTCAAAGGTTCCGGGAGATTCGGCGCGAGCGTGAACGTCAGCCGGAGAAGTATCGACGCTAGATCAGCGTCGGCCGATCGAGAAACACGCGAGACAAGCCGAAGCACGGCTCCGGAGTTTTTCTGCAGAGAAGGCGAAAGGTCGGCCACGACCATGATGATCGATGGTAGAGAATCAACATCCTCGCGTGATCGGGAAGTATCAGCGCGGCGAAGCGGACGATCCGAAGGAGTCACGACGAGCATCGATCGGAAGTATTCCGAAATTACGCGCGACAAACGTTCCTCGAGTTCGCCCTTCTTCCTCAGACAGTCCGGGAAGTCCAGCGCGCCTGTGAGCATCGATCGCAAAGGTGTCCAGCTGAGATCAGCGTCGGCCGATCGGCAGACGCGCGAGACACGCACCAGCCGGAGCACGAGTCCGGAATTCTTCTGCAAGGAAGGCGAAAGGTCGGCCACGACCGTGATGATAGATCGAAGAGGATCAACGCTCTCGCGTGATCGGGAACTGTTAACGCAGCCAAGCAGACGATCCGAAGGAGCCACGACGAGCATCGAACGGAAATACTCCGAAATTAAGCGCTCCTCGAGTCCGCAATTTCTCAGCAAAGAATCGGAAAAATCGACGACGCTGATCGAACCAAAGTCCGCCGTAACGACGGACTCCGCGAAGAGCATCTTAAAGCGGCGCAAGTACACTTTGGATACTTCCTACAAACAAACCGTGCGGCCTTCGACGCATTCGGGTAACAAAGGAGCTCGTTCTGCGCGAGTCAGGCAGCCTCCGAGTCCTCCGATGAGCAAGAATGTGGCGAAAAAGAATTTGAAGAGAGGCGAGGCTTCCAGCGTGACCGTCAGATCAGGCAGTCGTAAGTCATCGAAGATCTCGGACACCCTCGCCAGCTCGGCCAGCTCGATCGTGAGCCTGAAGTACGGTCTGGAGTTCGACAATATCCTCCAATCGGCGGGGTTGGTCCGCAAGTTCATGAAGTCGCAGAACGGCGGGCAGCGCGAAGCTCATCGTCGCTCGTCTTCGAAGCGCGACTTCAAGACGACCGGTGCACGGGCAGTGAAAGACGTTCAAGCGAGGAATCGATACGGAGTCTCCCGGCTCTCGCAGAAATCGAGGTCGCCGTCCACCGACAGCAGGGAGCGAACCACGCCGGAGTACTCGCGTAAGAGCGTCACCCCGACGGAAAGCGACATGGAAATCCAGGAGATCACCATGACCGATCATCGCATGGAGCGCTGCAAGCCGCGAAAATCGCCGAGCCCGGAGCAGCCGGCGAGTCGGCTCGATTCCCCGAACGTCGCCCTGAGGAAGAGAACTCCTCCGCGGAAAGACTACGGCCGGCGGCACGGCGCGAAGCCCAACACTCCGCCGCGATATTCGCCCTTGGGGAAAGTTACCCGCCACGGCGCCGGTACCACGAGGACTTCGTTCTCCCGAAGAGTCGTGGATCAGAAAGCCGATCGGAATCTCGCGTCCAAGTACGGCACGTACACCATCAAGGGTCGCGAACGCAAGGCTGCATCGGTCGAGGCGAGGCGAGGATCGCCGAGCTTGAGCGAGAATAAGGCGAGGAGCAAAGCCGAGGGGTCGAGAGACACCGCGAGAACAGCCCCGAAGGCGATGTTGACGCAACGGGGAGACGATTCCGGCTCACCGTCGCTCCAGGAGTCGGCGTCACGGCGACTCGACTCTGCTGGATCTCCCGAGCGTTTGACCCGAGCGTCTCCGGAAATTTCCTTGCGGCTGATGGACGTGCAAACGAGGGCTGCCTTGGCTGTCACCGAGGAACTAAAGGCTTTGACGAGATCGACGGTGGACTCCAGCCGCAAAGTAGCGAGTGATGTGACTTTGAGGTCGACTCTGCGAACTTCGACCGGCGAGGGCACAAGGGCCGGAAGGGTCGCGCGCAAAGGCGACTCCAGAGTGATCCCGAGCAAGGAGATTCGTTCTTCCAGGAGAATAACGAAAACCTACCGAAGCTCGGTCGGAAGTAAGCCGAGCTCAACGCAGAGGCGATCGCCGATCTGCAAGCGGCAGCTGTTCGAGTCCACCTCAGAGAAGAAGGTCCACGGGGTGCAGACGAATTGGCGTTTCACGGAAACGCGGAATAAGGAGAATTATTCGAGCGCGAACGTTCGATCCCGCGGAGACGGAGCGACGTCGGACGTAAAGTCCCTTGAGGATCTCAGCGTTGCGAGGAGATCAGAGGAACCGGAGGAGTTGCCGACGATCTCCGTGAAAAAACTGCGATCCATCGAGGATATCCGGAAGTCGATCGGTCATCATGAACGACCTCGCACACTGACCCCTGCGAAAAGGTCGAGGTCAGCGATTGCAAACTGGCGTCCGTCGACGTTGCGAGAGGCCGGCGACGCGAGAAGATCGAGCTCCGCGAGCGGCTCAGTGAGATGCGTTTCTCTCAAGAAGGAGCCCGCGAGATTAACTAAAATTCAATCCTGTGTATCCAGGATCGCGAAGAGCCCGAGTCCCGACGCGAGGAAGCAGCACGAAACGAACGCGCGAGCGACGCGGGGAAGCACTCCTTCGTCGCCCTCCAAGAGCCCCGATATACAAGTCGCTCCTAGGGTAAGTGCTGTGACATAGTCGTGGCGACAGCGGGATGATCTTCGTGATATATTTGTATTTTTCATACAGAGTGAGGCAATAACACTGTCTTGAATATCTTCGAAGTATGAGAGTGGGTGGGAAATTTGCCCAACAGAAATTTGTTTCTGTGCATTGATACGGTTCTGCATTTCGAACGCCTTCTGCAAATGTAAACTTTCTTTTATCTTCATCTAGTTTTTAAGGAAATATCTTTCTTTCTCGGAGATATTCAAGATTGTAATAATTATTATCTCACCCTGTGTATCTGCACGGAAAAAGAAATATCAATTCCTGCAACGGGGACCAAGTGAAAACTCGGTGATGTAATGATATCTCTGTTATCGCGACTGAATACGCTCGTGTGAACATTCAGCTGCATTAAAACTCGGTTAAAACAGGTGAGAGCAATTAGCTAAGTGGAAATCTCCTACAGGAATTTTTCTGTTTCTGCACTGAGAGAAAAAATAAGTGAAAAATAAAAAAATATTATTTAATATTTGGCAGATGTTAATAACATATTTATTTAAATTTAAATTCTTTTATTTCATATAGAATGAGCAATTTCTTTCGTGGAAAATTACAGATTTCAGAAAATATGTATTTTCACTCGAACACAAATTTTTTTAACATAAAAGCATGACTTTTCATCTGGTCCCCGAACAACAAAAAATTTAGTTGCACTAACGAAATTGTTTCTTCCATGTTATATTTCTTTATATCTGACATTGTCACTTTCTCTTTCTCGTTGTTTCCTTCTCTCTTCTTACATTAAGTTCATATTAATAGTCGTTGTTTGAAACTTACCTCAAATAAGATACTCAAATTTAAATTAAAAGTTAGATGTGAGCTTTTCAGTGGAATCACGGTTACAAATACAATATATATCATGCGATTAAAACTGACAAACTCAGATTGTCCTAAAGCCGGTATTAAAAGTCTTTACTTAAAGCTTACCTCACATGTGATACTTGAATTTAAATGTAAATTTAGATCTGAATTTTCCAGTTTAATCATGATATATGCGACATTATATCAATAATTATAATCAGTAATTGCGATTCAACAGAAAGTCTCGCATCTAATTCTAAATTTGAATATGAGTATCTCACTTGTGTGTGTATGTGTATATGAGGGAAGTAAGTTTCAAATAACGACTACTAAGACGAATCTAAATCCAGATCTGAGTATCTCATACGACAAGTTTCAAACAACTGTCAATATAGACTTTATTTTCCACTCGCTGCTTTGGTCTCATTTACCATAATCTGCTTCATTAGCGCGGACCCACGGAACCAAAGAGCCGAGACGCGCGAAGGCCGGTTGTCGCGAAAGCTGCGGAATCGATCGGAAGTAAAACGACAACCGAAACGGCGGACGACGCGATCGACGAGGTCGACAATGCCGTTCAGCAGGACGGTTCGCCGCGCGAATCCTCGGCGAAGAAGTCCGACGCCTTTGTGATCGACTTGGACGACCGATCGAAAGAAAGCGACACGACGCCCCCGAAAAAAGCGACGTCGATGAGGAGGTCCTCGAACGACGTAAGACGGATTCTCCTCTTTCTTACCGAATCTTTTTGTTAAAATGCGAGCGCTCCTTCGAGTTATTTCTGTCGTGTGAACTAAACGGCACGTTAGCCCGACATGCTAACTAGAAGTTTTGTGATCGAACTAGACCCGCTTCGCGAACCTTTCGTGTCAACTGGCCAGCGCCGCGCGCGATGAATCAGCCGCTCGTCAAGTTTAGCCTGCTTTGTGCTATTGTCGCCGTCCGTACATACATATCGAGTTAAAGTCCAAACACGCGAAATAGAGGAGAGAATTTTTCCGGAGTATCACTGCCCCACTTGTGAACTGAAAAAAGTGTATTATATTATTATTGGATCGTCCGATAAGTTCGTGCGAATTTTTGCGAAGGGTTCAAGGCTGATACTTTTATTTTTATTCGATAATGTATCGGCCGTATTTTCGATGGCAGGTCATCGAAAAAAAAAGCAAAAGAGTCAAGCTGTACCCGACTATGGGGCTGTTGAGGACATGGGAAACGTGTTAAAAAGTACAATTCTAATGCGCGAATATTCAGACATGACCGTCTGATTGGAAATGTTCAATGTTATTATACCTAGGGGAGAGTTTTCCGTACAAATTTTCGCACAGTCGGGTTAAGAAAATATCCTTGCTAATTAATTGCCATAATATATAAATTGTAACTTGAGTAATTCCAATTAAAAGTGAAATATCCTAATTAAAGGAGAGAAATAAGAGGGATATCCCGATGAAAATGGGAAAATCCCAGTCGCGTGGTATATTATTCATCAAAGATTCTCTCCGTGCGCGCCGAGTCCGCACGGGTATCTCCCCGTAACCGCCTCCGGAGCCCGGCTCGTCAAACGCGGAATAGTTAACGGAGGATTCGCCGAGAAATCTATCACGAAACGCAACATTGTTGTGCAATTTGCTCTGAAAAATCGCCTGAAGAGCGAGCGAATTTAATGGCATGCAGTTTGATTACTAAAACGCGGGCCGCGCGCAGTTTGTTTCGACATTATTGCCGTTTCGAAGTCGAAATAAATCCGTATTTATTCGGTCGAATCGTGACGGGTCGGCGGTGAAAAAAAGACAGCGCAGGAATAATGCGCTCTGAAGCACAGCGTCAAAATAAAATGTCGCCTCTCTCGTGACGGCAATCCGGCCGGCCAGTTAATCGCGCATGGATTTTCCGCCCCGTTCCCAAATTGAAATTCGCATTGTGCATGCTCAAAAAATCAATCAGTGGGCGCCGGCCAGGTATTTTATGCGAAATCGAATCATATTGCTACACATAGTCCCTTCGCATGCCGTATAATTTACTTCACATACAATCGCAATCGGTTCGTTTAGGGATATATATATATATATATATATAATTTATCGGGGTGAAAAAACATTGGGGAAAGCCGCGCGTTAACTGTTACGTTCAAAGGCTCCCGAGGAACTTCGGAAAAAGGGCGTGACATGGACGGCTGATAAGCTGCACTCGCGTGGCGCAAGGTGCAATTCAAAAACACCAGATTTAAACTAAGTAACCTAGATACTCGACTAGCTATCGAGCAACGAATTTTGCACCCGGAAACGATGGATTTCGTGAAAGTTACCTCGATATTATTTATCCGTCGATTTAATCCGCACGTTTGCCTGCAGAAATACCAAGCAACCTCGAGCGCATCGGGCCGACCGACCTCGTCTGTCTCGTCGAACGTCAGCAGCGCTGGCACGACGCAAAGTCCAGCTTCCGGCACGAAAAGGAGAATGTCCACGAGAACCAGAATGTCTGTTTCCAGGTCTGGATCGCGGGCAAGGGAACTGGCCTCGGCGAAAAGCACCGGAAGTAACCCCGCGTAAGTTTCTCTCCCGAAGTTGCGGGGTGTGAGAAGGGCCGGATTAAAAATAAGAAATAAATAATTCGATTATGGGGCCACAATTATTTTCAGAATTAGAATAGATAATGAATGTTTTATGTATACACTTCGTGGCGCTCCCATAGAATTCTTGATTTTAACGAGCTACTGCTACTTATTACTTATCGATTGTTGGAATGAAAAGAGGAGCTTGCGGAATGTTTTATAAACGGGCCCGATCGATCACAATGGTCGTTTCATGGATACCCTCTTAATTCAACGTATTTTGCAAGAATTGTCAACACATGTTTTCCCGCTTCGTGAATCGCAACCTCTTGCATTTGCGTCGTTCGAGATCAACTAATGGCTGATTACAGGGATGGTCGGATAGCCTGCAACATATGCCAACGCAACTTCGCGCCGGAACGACTGGCCGAGCACCAGAATGCCTGCGCGAGAATGGCGAGCAGGAAGAAGAGGAAGCCGTACGACGCGATGAAGGCCCGCCTCACTGGGACCGAGCTCGAGCCCTTCTTGAAAAAAAGCGTGGTGGTCAGTATTCCGTCCACCGATCTCATCCTCCCCCGTGCTTTCCTCCTTTGCCAGTGAAATCCCCCTCCCGAGTCTCCGCTCGGTTTGATTTCTTCGAAATTGATTTCTTTCGCCCGTAACTTTCGGATCCCGGGGTATAACTTCGTAATTCGATGACCCCTCGTCAGCGATTCCCTTCAATTCCGAATTTCGCCGGGACTGCTCGACCCACCCGGTCGGTACGGAGAAGCGAAGGGCGCGCGTGTAAACTCGATTATCTCGAATATTATTCGTCGATACGTTCGCGGATCGCCGGAATGAAAGAGCAGAGAAATGGCGCGCGAGAAATTCATCCGTCAACTAAATCGTCGCGGTTGATTTCGGAGACTTCCGGGGGGAGGGGGGGGGAGGAGAATTTCGTCGGAAGGACGGAGAGAGACGCTCACGCATTCTCGTATATCGCATTTCAGCCGGCCGCGAAGAAGCCGGAGGTCAAGTCGAACTGGCGGCGCAAGCACGAGGAATTCATCCAGACGATTCGCTCCGCCAAAATGGTGCAGTCGCACTTGGCGGCAGGCGGCAACCTGAAGGATTTGCCGCCACCCCCGCCCAGCGACACCAGCGACTACATCCAATGTCCGCACTGTTCCAGGAGGTTCAACCAGGCGGCAGCGGAACGGCACATTCCTAAGTGCGCGAATATGCGACATAACAAACCGGCGCACGCACGAGCGGCGAAAACGCGGCGCTAGCGAAGAATCACCGAGCGCGACCACGGCCCCGGTGTTTTCCTCGCGAATCGGAATTTCTTCTCCATAAAGGTAGTCGCTCGCTGACAAATTACGCGTAGTCGGCGCAGATGGACGCGCCTTACATCCGAATAATTGGAAATCCTCGGGCCGATAGATGTTTCTCTCTCGACCTCGAGCGTAAGTCGAGAAAACGGCGAGCTCGAAGAGCTCGTCTTCGAAGCGTCCTTTGAATTCATATTCTTCAGAAATAAAGATCAGAAGAAGAAGAGCTCATTATGATCTCTCTCTTTCTGCGTAATTTCGTGATGAATAATTTCCGTTCCGTTCAATCTCCGTGAAAACGTAAGATACAATTTGCAAATTGAAACCTTAAAATACGAATCGCTGCGATTATTAATAGGAACTTCGCCGGAGCTGAAGAGCTGTAATAAAACGAGCGAGTGCACATCGCATTAATGATCACGGTAATTATGTATATTAACACCTGGCGGCGGCGTGCGCAGTCGCAAGTGCGAGATAATTTAGCAGCCGCATCGATAGGCAATTTCAACGTTTGAAATCAGGTAGAGACACGCCGATAACGAATGTCGCTTTCTACTCGTATGGAAGACTACCGTCGTTCAACCGGGGGCTTTGACTAACTGTGGATCAGATTTTCTATCGTCGCGTTGATTTTTCTATGCATTATAATCGAGCGCAATTTTTATAACCGCAATAATCATGTACGACACGAGCGCTGATGATGTACGTGAAATAAATGTGTTATACAGCACGAATGGCAATAAAAGAACAAAAAAAAGAGTCGGTATTCTTGTTTCGTAGCACGCGAATTCCGTACACGATCAATCAGATCTCCTCCAGTCGGAACTCCGTCAGATCTCCCTTATCCGTATTATAATTTATTATTTCGTCACACCGAATAAATATCCTGGGATAGAAATTTTAATTCTTAATGTACACGACATGAATACTACTATGAGATATATATTATATATATGTAATATAATTTGTATTAATTCATCGTTTTACTCTCGATTACATATATTACGTACCGTTAAATAAATTGTGACACTTGTGAGATTTTTGTCAGATAAATTAACTTTTTTTCTAAAAAGATGAAAAAATAGAATTCCTCGATATTTTCATCAAAAGAGGATCAACTGAATATTGCTGGGAAATGTTCAAAGTCAGGGTAAAAAATGCGCTCAACACCGGACGGTTGAAACTCGAATGTATTTCGCCATGCTCCATCGATTTCCCCAAACATGTTCAAACAACGGCGCCTTTCCTCCTATTCGAACTAGTTACGTCACTGGGATGAAGCAACGTGCGTCGCACATGCGCTGGAAAGTCGGCGCTCCGTGCACACAACAGCGAACACACATACACACACACACACACCCGAGATACCAATTTGCCGCAGTATATGCGGTATCGGCCGTGCGATAGCACGTTTCTTCGCGAAGGGCTTCCGATCGGCTTATAATGACAAAGTCGGGAAATTTAACGAGGAACGTATGTCCGGTGTAAACGCGGATCGACGAGCATGGATCAGCTGATTATCTTCGTGTCGGCGGTGCACCTGTTGTATTGTCCGTTCACGAAAGTCGAGGAAAGCTTCAACATGCAGGCTATGCACGACCTCCTCTACCACGGCTTGAATCTTACGGAGGTAATAATGACTGAAACGTTGAACGATCCACGAGCGCAAAAGTCGTATTTAAGTTCGACGTTCGTCATCATTCGGCTGGCAGCGGAATTGCGATCGAGCCGACACGCGCAAAAAGTGTCGTCTTATATTTAGCACCAGATGCGCGTATTTATAAATCCTCGATCAGCTGATGCCGCACCTAATCATTTTTATGCGATAACGGCACGGTTAGATGTGTCTCTCGAATTTTTTCGCTTTTCGCTTCGTATCGCTCACTCTTCCCGCTTTATTATTATTATTATTATTACGTTTTGCTTAAAGCGCCCGTATAATATGTCCGTGAGGTGGGATAATTAATGAGGAAAGAAACGAGCTTGAATAATGGAACTAATAAATTGCATTTTCCCTCCGATAGTACGATCACCATGAGTTTCCTGGAGTCGTGCCACGTTCTTTTCTGGGACCCATTATAGTGTCCGGTATCGCTTCACCGCTAGTGGCAACTATTAATTACCTAAAGCTCAACAAATTTTTTGCTCAGTATGTAGGTAAGTTTGATAATTTTGGAGAATATACGACAATTCTACGTCGTGCCTTTGTAAGTAATGAATAACATGGTGTTTCAGTGAGAGCAACTTTGGGATTATTGGTGATAATTACGTTGAAGCTATACAGAAGAGCTTTGCAAAATATCTTTGGCCTGCAGTTTACAAAATGGTTTATCGCTATAACTGTGACACAATACCACTTTATGTACTATCTCAGTCGTCCGCTGCCAAATATAATGGCTATGCCTTTAGGTAACGTAAAGCCAAAATTCTGTCGCGTCTTTTTTATGAGAGGAAGAGAGAACGAGTCTATGTTTACGCGTTATTGTAGTGAAATGTAGTTTCTGAAATAACGGAGCTAACGAAACATGATTATTAACAGTATTGCTGGCCTTATTTGGATGGTTGAGACAGAGTCATGGGGTATTTATCTGGTCGTCAGCTGCAGCGATAATAATATTCAGAGCTGAACTCGCTATACTGTTGGGAATATTCCTTTTGTACGATATAGCCTACCTGAAACTTTCAATATCAAGGTATTTATATCACGGACCATTGATTCCTAATATGGCTGTAAAATTACAAACAGAAGGGATTAGAATCATCATGGGGCCTTCTGCAAAACTACACAAATTTGTAAGCTTCACTATGTGTATCAGATTAACGTACAAATCGTTGTCCTCAATTTCCGCGATCCCGGGCGAACGATTAATTCTCCAAGTGGCTTTAAGTTGTAATGCTCTCCCCTAAGTTATTCCGTTTACCGTAAGATAATGCTTCATAATAATAATAATTTTTAGAGTGCTTAAAATTGCGGTTCCAGCTGGTGTATTGTTCCTAGCGCTTACTGTTGTCGCGGATTCGATATTCTGGAGACGTTTAGTATGGCCAGAAGGCGAGGTGTTTTACTTCAATGCTGTACTTAATAAGAGCAGCGAATGGGGTGTATCCTTTCCAAATACGCGCCAAATTGTCCTCATTTGTTACACATTTTGGGTAGTAACGTCGGGAGCACGTTTATGCGAGTGTAAATGAACTTGACATCTAAGTATAGACATCGCCATTTTTATGGTACTTCTACTCGGCGCTACCGAGGGGCCTAGGGCTCTCGTATCTCTTGATTCCCTTAGGAATGTTCTTGGATACTAGGGTGCGCATGCTCACCGTTCCAGCTATCGCATTCGTGATATTATTCTCATTCTTGCCGCACAAGGAATTGAGATTCATCATATATGTGTTCCCACTGCTGAACGTCGCCGCCGCTGCCGCTTGCCACAGAATGTGAGTACATTCCTCTCTGTATCGAGTTGAATCGTACCACAAAAGTCCTGGTAGTTGCATGTAATGCAAAAATTGTTTCTCGTTGGGAACTAGATGGGAAAACAGAGCAAAAACAACGTGGAATGGTTTTTTAGCGCTGGTAATCCCGGGCCATCTCGCACTAAACACTCTGTTCTCCATGTTTCTGTTGTGCGTGGCTGGCTCGAATTACCCAGGAGGTGCGGCGATCGCTAGAATCCACCGACTCGAGAGAGACTCGATCGAGCCGGTGCACGTGCACATCGACGTGCTGACTGCGCAAACAGGAGTCTCGAGATTTACGCAAACCAACGCTTCTTGGACGTAAGTTACCTTCGTAAGTCTCTTCGATCGCTGCTACGTATGATTTAATCTGTGATGAGAAAGCATGAAGACAATGATTAGATGTGATTAGATCTTTGAATTTATTTCAATCCATTTCTGTGTGATACCCCCTGCTGATGGGAAAATAACGATGTGTTATACAGTTACTCGAAACAAGAGAACATGACCGTCGACGATCCTGAAATGCTGCAGTTCACTCATCTCTTGATGGAGGCGAAGAGCAAGTATTCACCAAATATAAAGCCCTACCTCAAAACTCACGACATTGTTGACTCCGTCGATGGATTCTCGCATATAGCGTTTAATTACCACATGTTGCCACCTATTAGAATTAAAACGAGGCCTACCATATTTATTATCAAGAGAAAAACGAATATCAAGTACGATCCTGACAAAGCGAGATCACGAGTTTCTTCGAAAGATTTTCTACAACAGATAGATGGCACAGATGACAAAGAGGAGGAAGTAGAATTAAATACGTCGCATGAAACGATGACAGGGGCGAATCCAATATTTGACGACATTGTCGAGTCACCAGACGAATTTGTAAGTCCGGAGGAAATTGACGAACAAAATGCTTCAGATATTGAAGTTGAACATATTGTAGAAACAAGTGATAATATCGAAGAAGAAGAAGAAGAAGAAGCAAAGAAAAATAGTGATCTTACAGACGATAGTATAACATCCCTGGAAAATGTTCAAATTGAAAATGCAAATAGATTATTGCCAAATTTAAAAGATAAGGAAAGAGAGGAAGATTCTGATTTACAAGATTTCGAAAATGTATCCAACATTGATGATGACGCCAAATCTAACGAGGAAGTAAAACCGAAATTCGGAGAAGGCAAAGTTATTAGGGGGAGACATAAGAACAACTTGAATCTACGCCAAGAAAGCATTAAGGAATCGGTCAAAAAGATCATCCAAGAGAAGATGCAAGAAGTGAAGCAAAAGAGAGAAATCAAGGATGAGCAAAAGAACACGGAACATCCGATAAAACCGGTGATGAAGAAAGAAATGGTAGCGACAGGAGAACTACCAAAGAAAATAAAAATGTTAAAACAAGAACCGAAGGAAGCATCATTCTTGAATGATAAACCAACACCGATAAGAGAAAGAGTGAAGATTACGAGAGGAGTTGTGGGAGATGAAGATACAGTCAATAAACAGAAATTGATCAATAAAGCGAAGAATATTACACAGAAGGCAGATAAAATCCAGACGATGGAGCCTGATTTGGAGCCAGTCACGGATGAGGAAGATACGACCGTGGAACGAGAAAATGAATCCATGGAAATCGCGATGGAAGAGATTGCAAAGGCACAGGATGAAGTTGACACGGAATCGCCTAAGATTCCAGAAATTGTAGAAGAAATTGTAGAAGTGGGCGACAAAGAGAACGTTAAATTACCGAAACCAACGAATGTAAGGGAGAGCATAAGAAACATAATAAATCAATTTAAAGAATTTGAGAGGGATTTTGTGTACGATGACGCGGATTCAAAGGTGTCCGACACGAGCGATGTGAATCGTATTAAAAGCGACGTGATAGAAAGGAACAGGGAAGCCGTCGATCGCGTCGCAGAAAGCGAAGATCAACTATTGGTGAAAGATCCCAGGGAAAGTCTGAAGGAAATAATAGATCAATTCAAGTATATTAAGCACGAATTGACTTCGGAGGAGGATGACCAGTTCGATGACATCGCGGCTAAATATATGGAGCGACCAATTGCTGAAACGTTGCTGCAGTTCAACGAAGCCTTAAAGAGCTTGATGCTGCGAAGAAGAAAGACATTGTTGCCTGAGCAGGCAACCGACCTACGTGACAACAAAGATGATCGCACTTCAGAGAATCCATTGCAAACAAATCATGCGAAAAAAACCAGAATTTTTAGAACAAAGCCAAAAGGCAGACAAGAGAGTGTCGCAGTAAGCAGGCCGAAACATGATCTCAACGCGGTCTCTAACGCAAACAAAGACACCAGTGCACCGGTAAGTGCCGAAGAGGTTTTAATGAATTCTCAACAACATGACGACGATAAGATCTTAAGTAACGTCAGTAAAATGGACCTCGCGTCGAGGAGAGGAAGTTCACAGAAAAATACGAAAAATAATCGGAGCGAGTAAACGTTGTTTCTAATCTGGAACAATTGTACAGTCGTGACACATGTAAATACGTTTTTCTGTGATATCGAGAACGGTGTGTTTTTTCATATTTGCTCGCGCATTACCAACACGGAAAGCGTAAGATTTACTTCTCCTGCGTCTACGTGAGACATATTTCCGCGATCATCTCGAGTGCAATAATGAACACAAACATGCTTACATACACACGGACGAGTTACAGAGCAGTGTAACTCATACAGTTTGATATTGTCTTTCCAAATCAACTTTTGCATTTAGATTACCGCTTGAAGAACGTTTCAATCTCTATCCTGTCAGATTATACTAAATGTTTCATCATGCTTGCGACAAGCCAATTATCCAGTTGTAAAATGCTACTTTTTCTGCAAGAATTAGCATGCAATCTTAAGTGGACAATCGATTGATTTCCATATTGGTATCTGCAGAGCAACCGAGTGCCTTACAAAATCTCTTCCGCAGCTCAAGAAGATGGTGAATGTTAATACACACGTATGCACAAATGGGTGTGCGTGTGTAGCCGTGTGTGTATGCACAATTATACGATGTATTGATATTTTACACATAAAATGAAGTTGTTTAATATTAAAGTTGATAAGTTTATTCCCACAGAGTACATTTGCCAAAATCTCGACATATATTTCAGACACACGATTAAAGGTATGTGTGTGTATGTACTATTTTTTTACAAATTCTTTTATGCTGCGGATTGATTCAATCGTACTAAGAAAAAGCAAGCGTGATACTATATAATATTCTATCGCGCACGCCGCCCTTCAAATAGACCGGAAGCTTGTTGTCACACTAACAAAATAAACGATGTTGTAAACTATAATAGTTAGGAAGAATTTTGTAAAAGTTATTTCGAATCAGGCGTACCTGCATTCTCTCTTGCTTCAATTTAAATTTTCGAAGTTCTTTGTCACAAGTTAGAAGCGACTGGTTCGTGCTGAATAACCTTTGTAATGACGAAGTATTGCAAACATGTCGCGTCTGGAGTTAAAAATTTCAAAATTTTGTTTTTGAAACTAGATATTCGCAAGGTATGTATTAAATTTGCGTTGCGCCCAAATAATTTGTCGCTTCTTTATTACGAAATTCTTTAAACAAAATTCATGATTAAATATTTTGAAAAATAGGCTTGGAAAAATACGAGATTGTATGTTGTGACTATTCAATTTCTGAATAATTTATTATGTTACCTTATGTATATTCCTTATGAAAAATATGTTCAAAATTCCTGACATGATCGTGACAATAATTTAGCGTGCTCTTAGCTCAAGTCAATTTCGCATCGTCACCGAAAAATGATCTTATTATTTTGATAGTTGCTAAGCAAATAAACATCTCGAGTCAAATATTCAAATGAACGAAATGTAAAGGAAACGTAGCGCCGCCAAGAGAACTGACCAATCGGGGTGCAGTGAGCTGCTCGAACTAGCCAATAGAAAAACAACATTAAACAGTGAGTTGTGTGGAATATACTTCCCGTCAGAGAGAATTCTGCACGCACCCATCATCGACGCGAGGACTAATCGATTTCGATTATTATCGAGAGGACAATCAATCTTGCAATCCGAGAAAGAAGAATCGAATATTAAGGATAAATTCTATTTGAAACTCGCAACGAGTTTCCAGATGTCCAACACATTAATCAATTTAACCAATTGACCAAAATGATTGGACATTATAAATTCGGCCTAAGCTCGCGAATGTGGAACGCACCCGAAGTATCCGGTTCCAAACTTTTAACCCCGGTCTATAATAATATTTTAAGCCTTAAGAAATTGGCCAATCACAGTCGATTATTTTCTTCGCATTCGACTGTGATTGGTCAATTTCTTAAGGCTTAAAACACTTATTATAGACCGGGGCTTACTCGACGGATGGTGTACCAATTAACCAATCATAACAAAGGGCTCTTTGCACTCTTGTCATGACTGGTCAATTAAGTACTCTACCGGCTGAGATTGGATTTTGGAACGCACCCCCATAGGGACCCTATATGCACCCCGGGCGCACGCGCGTTTGCGACGCGACGTAACAGTCGTAAACAAGATTTTTTCTCGGCGCCGTTGTTCATTCGGTTCACACGCCTACGGGTTGCGACGAGCGTCTCGCAGGGGAGACCTTGCGATTCTCTCCCGCGTTTTCGCGTTAAACCGCGGAGAACATGAGAACGACGGCGCTGTTCGGCGCCTCGTGATACGCGATCTCAAGGCTGAGAGCTGTTATGTGCTGACGTCAACCAGATCGTTCTGGAAGAATCCTGCGAGACAATGGCGGGTACGTATTTGCGACGCTATACTCTGCGACCGTCGTTACTGCATGCGTCATGGCCCACGTATTACTTTCAGATTTGTACGCGAAGTACAACTGCACCTATTGTCAGGAGGACATCGCGGGCCTGCGTGTCAAATGCATCGAGTGCATCGAATTCGAACTCTGCCTGCAGGTAATTCGTTATTTGAACGCGGAATGGCCGTGCGATATCACGTGTCACCGTTCTCCGCCATCTTTTCGTCTCCCTTCGTCCCGCACCTCGTCTCTCTCTCTCTCTCTCTCTCATCTCCTCTCCCTCTCCGATCGTTCCTCCGCTCTTTCCTCATTCATTGTTCCTCCGTACTTCCTGGGAGAGGCTCGCGCTTCTCGAAAGATACGCGTAAGGTTTTCATGTCCCTACCATTTTTCTTGCTCCCCTTCTTTTCTTCCCACATCTCGTGCCACTCTTTCCCCTTCATCCTTCCATCTGCAAACCTGTGAATGAAGCCACTAATCGGTGCGACACACGTGGACGCATCGGCATACTGTGAATAGCGATACTAATGGATTCTTTCGAGGTTTGCAGCCCAACATTGTTTACATTTTGTTTGCAATTAATGATATGAAGTAGAGAATAGAAGATCAGAGGAAATCCGGATATCTGACTTATATTTATTTATTTTTCGATCAGTTCCGATCCGAAAACTCAAACCACACAATTCGGATCCAAGTTCAGACTGTATTGAGAGATTCAGATTCAAAATCGGATTCGAATTTGAATTAAAATTAAATAAAAAAATAAACATAAACCAAAAGAAACTGTTGAAATTAATTATAAAATTCAAAATTATTAATTATTTTAGAAATACATATAATCGTTTCAAGTTATGTCATTAAAGTTCCTGACTACTTGCTATAATTATCCTTGTGATGATCGTCAGAAATATCAAAATTGTCGTTAATGACGCAAGAATTCTTGGCATGTTTTCTTGCTTCTGACATCATTAAACAAGAACAATTATAACGAGTAGCTAAGAGCCTTAAATTGTATTTAAAAAATATTTTTGAAAGAAATCTAGATTGTCTCAAATATGTCTGTTTCACTGTTTAAAATGTGACACATTTATTCGCTATCTGAATAATCGAATATGTATAGTATCATATCTTAATGAATATTGAAGACATATGAAACTTTGAACTTATTTTTATAAATGTTATTAATGCTAATAACATGATTGTGTCAACTATGTACATTATTTACAGTGTTTTTCTTCTGGTGCTGAAATTGGTCAACACAAAAATAATCATGCCTATCAATTTATGGTATGTATGGTATGTGTACAAATTTTTATTTAATTTTATCTATGAAAAGAATTTTATTTTGGCAATGCACACTTTGCAAAAATATTGCAAAATACGTTAACATATACTTATGTAAATTTAGGACACTGGTACTATCAGTATATTTAACGGCCGTGGGAATTGGACTGCTAAGGAACAGCTTAGGCTTCTGGATGCTATTGAACAATTTGGATTTGGAAATTGGGAAGACATTAGTAAGCATATCGAAACACGTACACCAGAAGGTAATTTTAACAGATTTCTTTCTTTATGTGTCATGTATAAAATTGATGAAATAAAAGTAAATAAAATGTTGGCTTGAGAAAGGATTATGTTTTGAAAGTAATTCCGCGTTATTCTTTATTAATTAAAGAAAGTAACTAGTTACTTTTCAACACCTATAAACATGTATTTACTTTTACTGTTACACTAACGACTCACTTTGTAATTTCAGAGGCAAAAGAAGAATACATTGCTAGATATCTTAACGGTAATATTGGGAAGCACACTTGGCCACCAACGGAGAGCTATGTACCAAATCTCACAGATCAGACAAAATCTGATCATGGGCCTCTGTCACCAGATCTCACATCAAAATTACCACCGTTAGATATCACTCCGGATGAAGCCGCCCAATTGGGCTACATGCCGCAACGGGATGACTTTGAAAGGGTAATAAACATAGAAATATCTTGAAGATTTGACATTTTTCAGGATATATGATTTAGGAATAATTAATTATCAATCCTTTTTTTTCTTTCTCTTTTAGGATTACAACCACGAAGCTGAATCTCTTGTTTCTTCGTTATTTCTGAATCCCGCCGAGGATGATGATCTTGATATCGCGCTTAAACTAGCACAAGTTGACATGTACACTAATAATTTGCGAGAGAGAGCCAGACGAAAACGCGTCGTGAGGGATTATCAGCTTGTGTCGACATTCTTCGCGTCGTCCAGGAAAGACAAAGGGGTGAAGAAGAAACGAACAAAGGAAGAAAAGTACGTTTTATGTATCGATCTTACATCTTTCTTTACACATTTCTCTCTCGGCGCCCTGTGACAGATAAGAGGATAATTAAATTTCCCTTTGCATTTTTTAACGTACGTTTCGTTTACTTACAGGGAATTTAGGGACAGAATGCGTGTATTCGCACAGTTCTACACGGCACAAGAGCACGAACAGTTCCTAACGAATCTCGAGAGAGAAAGAGAATTGCGCTTACGACTCTCTGAACTGTACCGATATCGCGAGAACGGCATTACAAGGCACGAAGAGTGCGCTCATTATGAGCAAGTGATTGCTCAAACTCAGAGACAGAACGACACGATGGATCAGTGGGCGGAGAAAAAATCTGTAAGTGTAAATCTGTAATCATTTCTATTTATATGTAAAAACTCTCGTTGACTGCACGCAAAACAAGACCATTTTTATTTCGTAACACTTGTATATACGTAATATTTACATACAATACTTTGTATATATGTAACACTTGTATATGTACGCACATGTATGTAATTACGTATAGGTCGATCCATCTCAAGTGGTACAATAAAGCCCATTCTGCAATAGTCGTAAGAGTATACAGTAAGACGTAATAATTGATGACTAGTTGGATTCCTACGGTCTAAGAAGAATCGACTGTAGTTGGTCAATTTACTACTTACTGCTTACGTCTTGCTACATTCTCTTACGGCTATTGTAGAATGGGCTTTATGAATTTTCTGGTTGCTCGTCCAATAAAAAATCTACTTTTTTAGTTATTTTTCAGTTATTACCCCTGTATGTCAATAATTCAAAGCAGAGGCCATTCACTAATTATGCCACACTATGAGGTTGGGGGGAGGGGAGATAAAGGCTATGGAACATCACATTAGATGACATAACTTATAAATATGCATGCACGGATGTGGTTATATCCGTTATATCCATTTTGTTTGCATTCGTGACACATTTTGTTACATTTGGTGAATATTTTTAAGTTTCGATATAGTTAATAATTAAAATGTTAATTTTTCAATGTTTATTTTTCTAAAAACACAACTTTTATTAATCAGAATTATAAAATAAAGTAATTAATTTTATATTATATGCCTAAAAATTATATGTATTTTAGGAAAGATAATAGCATACAGTCTGATAATTATCTACAATATGGTTGTGATTTTTTTCTATGTGTCAGAGTGGCGGAGAGGTAATTCCTCGTGTTACATAATATTGGAGGAAGTAAATATTACGTAACAAAGTTGTAATGAAAGGAGTGGGGGGTAAAAATATCCAAATTTAGCGTGATGTAATTGTTGAAAGGCCCCTTTTAATATCATATAGACCTTGACTCTAGCCAAAAATTAAATTTTTTCTGTTTTACCAACCAGAAATATTTAGACCTAAAATAGGTGATTTTATTTAGAAAAAAAGGTAACTTTCAAAGTGTTAAAAAAAAAATATTATTCAAATTTCAGACTTCAGTTTGCTCGTTATAATAATGGTCGCCATTATAAAGTGAAATTGGGTCATTAATACATTAGACTAAAAATATAGCTTAAACTTGATCAAAATCAATGGTTTTTATTTACAAATTATCACTTCCTTGTTCTGAGGTATTTGTAATTGTAAACTCGAAAATTGCTGTCCATGTTTTCAGATGGCCGCCATTGTTAAAAGGAAGCGAATAAAAAGGACATATTGGTAGTTTTGAACTATTTACATATAGGAGTAATAACTGGCCAAAAATGAGATTTTTTAAAAATGGTCGAGCAACCTGTGTTGTACTACCTGAGATGGATTGACCCGTATACTTATATATACACAAATTCGTAAAAGCTAGAATGGTTCTCGGATATCAAAAGTTGGTTATATGTTTCATTATATTCATTTACTAAACGCATGCTGAAACGGAATGTATGTTTATAATCTATGATATCGCTGTGTATAGGCCTTACACATATAAAGAAACTCAGCAATACTGAACGGTTTATATAGCAATGTTATTGTACCTGTTGTCAGTTGATATGCGCTTTGTTTATATCTTTTTACATAACGTCGCAGACACTTGACCGTCGACTGCACTTGATTCTTTATTGTGTGTACATTTGCCCGTGTATAATCTCAGCTTTACTTACACTCTTACATCGCATAACAAAGTACTTGGCTATAATTCAACAGTACAACATTACAATGCAATTTTATTTTTATTGTCATGCTTCGTACTAACAAACTTATTTATGTGGTCAGTCACAAAAAAGTTATAACACTTTTTTCTCGACGAGTTTCGCAACACATCTCGTATCCAAAATAGTGCATTTCCTTACTAAAATAACAAGTTCTCATATTGGACACGGAATGCGTTCCAAAATTTACAAAATAAAGTCGATTGCTTTTTGTGACTGATTATCGTATTTATCATAGTAACAGCACTGTAATGTTATCGTTGTAACGAGTCTCTTTAAAGTTATAATTTACACAAGCATGCGAAATATAGTTAATATCGTGATGGTTTTTTCACACACATTATATGCATACATTATCACACGCAGTATGTGTTTTGACGCGATAAGAATAATGTTATGACGACGAAAATTAATCAGAAGAATCGTAACTGTTATCACACTCAGCCTTTGTACATTTCTTCTGTGTATATATATACAATAAGAATAAAAGTTCAGTGCCTTTTAACTATATTATATACACTAGCTTTTGCCTCTTTTTAACTAATTCAATTGTTTGTGGTGCGTGTTGCCAGGCATTTGTGAACAGATTGTATCAGTTTGCATTTCACTTAGGGCAGCAGTGGGCCGTCCACACCAATACATCGCCACACCTCAAAAAGAAGGTGAGATCACGTCTCGAGAATTACATGAATATTACATTTCTCGTTTCGTAGGGCCTATATATAAGTACGATACTAATCATATCGCTACATATGTCACAATATCACATATCGATCGGAAAATGTTTCAACACCTTCTTCGTTATTGTTGTATATTGCTGTATAAAGTTCCCGTTTGAGTTACACGAATCTCGTTGCGATAATGTTATCGAGGTATATTCGTGAACTTCTCACGTTGGGATCTTGAAGTCCCTTAGGTATTAAGTGGCGTGCAGGCAGAGGACTTCAGAGGGATTGACCTCGTATTTTTTCATGTTTTTTTTGCCCCTAAAGAGAAGAAGAAAAAAGCTACTCTTCCATCGACCGAAAGTACACTGTAAAGCAAGAATTGCCCAGCAACTCCGCGGCCAATCAAACCAGTCACAATCGGACGACGACTCCAGCCAATCAGTCGGTGGACACGGATAGCAATCCAAACACTTCCAACCAACACTCCACCACCAGCTCTGCGCAAGAAAAAGGTTACAACGGCGGCACTGCTTCTTCCGGGAAATCCTATCCGACTTCGACAAACCCCTCGCAAGAACGAGACATAGAATCGGAAGCCGCGTCTCATTTATTAACGAAGCAGGAAAAGTCTCTCTGTATACAACTTGATCTAAAACCGACTCAATATTTGACACAAAAGACGTTATTACTGCAGGTGAGTGACGAACTTCGATCGTGATCGTCGTTCTTGATTTCAAGCCAGAGTTGGGTAATAATAAGTTACAGTCAGTAAAAAGTTAAGTTGAAAAGTTCGTAACTTTTAACTTAAGTTAATTAATTTAAAATACATTAACTTTAACTTATTATTTTTTTTTTATATATATAAATGACAATAATTCATCAATATTAAAATCATTGCGAACTGCTTATAATATAAAGTAAGAAAAATAAAAAATAATACCAGCAGAATTATTTTTATGCCTTTGAGCGCTGGTATTCTTGTACGGAATCCTGTTAATTATGCAAAAAGTACATATATGTACATAGCTTTGCATAATTAATTCTTAACTTTAATAAGTTAATTTAATATTAACTTTTAATCTAGTTTTTGTTTAGGTAACATTTAACCAAATTAATTTTCTAGGCCATATTTTTTTTTATTTAATTAAGAGTAAAATCAACTTACCCAACTCTGTCTCATACCTTGCTAAATGTTGATGTTTCTTTCTGTGTTGCAGGAATATTTAAACGGTAACAGGAGATCAAGCATCATGCCGCAGTCGGAACCAGAGAGCAGGATTCTTCATTACCTAGTAACCAGCGGTTGGATTGCAGCCAACTGATCGAGCGCATGAAACTTCATCTTTACCATTTTCCCACTCTAAGTCATCTCTTCTAATCTTATAAGACAAATTCTAGACGTAACTAGAGTTGAAGTCTGATGTAATTAACTTGTAAGATAAATAGATGAAGGGAGGAGAACGAGCAAGCGTGCTTAGCATATCATTATGCATCGATGAATATTCCTTTTTACGCAATATCTTAAGTGACTGTTATGCATCGCGTGATTTATCGTGTGACGATCGTGCGATATTCGGTCTCTTCTCTGAGATTTGTCCGCAAGTGAGTATTGATCGTGACGTGTTTACTTACACGTTTATGATAAATCCGGTGATGCGTTTTGAAACCGATTCTAACGACAGCGATCGACCAGTCAAATGTTTGCCCAGTGTATAGTTAAAAAAAAACCGGTTTTTCTCTCGATTTTTCTGTCAATTTTTTTTATTTTTTTCACAGAAAAATAAGAAACCCGGGGCTTTTTCAAATCTTCCGCGGTTTTGTTTCGATTTCTGCCGCGGAAATTTGAAGAATAAAACCGGTTTTATTCCGGGATTTTAAAACTATTGTGTGTCTTTTTCTCCTCCGGCTTTAGGTTACAGCCTACAAGATTATAACATAAGGCACTGTGGATAGTTGTAGTTGTGGTTTGCTGGAAATATTGATTGATCGATGTTGTTAGAGGGTTGGTTGTTAGGATGTTATATTTTATTTATCATTTCCGAATGGTCGAATGCCGCTTAAGAGAATCTCTTAACACTGCCTACGTAGAGCCATTGAATATGATATTGCTCAATTAATTCTTCCACTACGTTATCTCCGTATACAGATTGCGTCCGTCGAGGACTGTCCTTTCTGTCTTTTAAATGTTGTCTGTTACAATATACCTGACAATAAGGAAACATTGAAAGTTTTAAACACTCCCTGTTTCAGAATTGTGCAGTTGATACAGAAACCAAAACGCGTTCGCGATTTTTTGGATTTTTGTAGTTACAATCGAGAGGTTAAAAGTACGGAAAACACGTCGATTATTTTATCATTCTAGGTAGATGCGCATTGCTATTAATTTATTGATTTATTCTCCGAGAATTGGCGCAGGTTAGACTGGCTCTCGACAAAAAAAAGCTTGCCGCATAAATCGATGAATCAACTGACAATCCGTGTAATCAAAGTATGCTTACTTTTACTGCATATACGTACACGGGAAAAACAGTTCTAGTAGCATGACTGAATTCCTCTTGCCTGGGAGGACCCGAACTGGAAATTCGGTTGTACGAACGGAAAGATTCCTGTAACAGAATTAGACGGAAAAATAATTTTTCGTCTTCGTCTTTCACGTGATTCCCATTCAGTTGGTGAAGAACGAAGATCTGTTTCCCATGTAATGACGTTACGGTATTTTATCTTCTAGTTTGAAAATTCGCGAGATAAGAATGGTTTTTTATCGACAGTTATTATATATTAATGGTGTATAAAGATGTGATATCTCGTAAAGAAATCTCACACACACATATAATTCTCCGGACTCTCGCGTACAAGAGTTTTACTAAACATTTTCGTATGAAAACTAAGCTTATTCACCGTCAAACTGCTGACACTCGAGCATTATTATTCATCAGTCATAACCATCGTAACCTCCCGAATTCTCGCGTGTATATTTAACATAATTCCTAGCTTGTTCCGGCGCAACATCATTTCTTTAAACCATGACCGAATGATTTTTCTGGATATTCTTACGAAATAACACAAGCCCTGATCCCACTTTTAACGTAGAAAGCGAGATAAAATATATCGAAAGTTGTGAATTTGCTGAATTAATTTGCTCGACTGAGAAATGAGGTAAATACCGCTGCCAGGCATCGGTAGTGTAAGAGATGTACGATATTAGGTGATTTATCCGTTGCCTATGTAGATTTTGTATATATCTGAGGAGTAAACTGTACCTTCTTAGCGATAATGGTTAGGTCCAAAAGCACGAAGAATCGCACCTTACGCGGCGTATCGAGTGTTGTTATCTTTGTCTGTAGAGACAGATGGGTACGAAAGTCATCACTTGGAAATTTAAAGGAAAAAAAGAAAAAGAGAATATCCTTCAATCGAATGGAGGGATACGGTTAAGTTTTACGAAAGTTATCTCCCTGAGAAACTACATGGGAATGTGGTTTTGTTTTCTTTCTTTTCCTCTTCGTAATATATGAAGAGGAGTTGGCAGCGATTTTGTAATTTCGCGAAACATAATCGTTAAATTCGTTCTTAGGTTACGTTTACTTGTTAAGTATAACACTAGGAGGTAAGAAGCGCGCGTAGCTACGTAATGATGTATTTTTAAATGATTTTATGTTAGTCTTTCCTCCGGAATCTTCACACGCTTATTGAAATTGTACGTAACGTTAAGCGGAAGTACGACAGAGTCTATCTAATAGATCCGACATGTAAATAGAAGAGCAGCCTATTTGTACATAGAGAGAGAGAGAGAGAGAGAGAGAGAGAGAGAGAGAGAGAGAGAGCAGCGTGAGCGAAGGTCGCGTGCGAACGGGTGACAAGAAATTCTATTCGGAATCTTTCGTCGCGAAAGTACGGCGTTTGTATAGTCGGGTGACACCGACGACGGCTCGCTCATATTTTGTATAGATAATAAACAAATACCTCTGTTTATTCGACTGTATATGACGACGTAGTTGATTGATTGCATACCGTTCACGGTTTCCTCCTGCGAGCGTCGAAGCGAGCGAGATCGTTCGTTATTACGTTATCTCGTGTTCCGCGTGTGTATAAAATGTGTGGATACCGCATTTAAGCTGTAAGGCTGCGACATCGAAGCACCGAAGTGTTTTTCGATCGAGAACAACATGATACAGCGGGCAGTTGAGAGAAGAAAGATCGCGACGCTTCGACCTTGAACTTTCGAACGCATGTACCATTAAACAGGGAAATTGATTTCTCCTGAAGATTGCAAATTCCGAGATGATTCTTCTATCGACGCGTCGTGAAACTCATCGGAAGGAGAACGTGTGTCGCGATCTCTCTTCTCCTCGGATCACTCGGAAATTTAAAAGAAAAAAAGAGAATATCCTTACGCGCCCTATTTTCCCAATAGAACAATGAAGCTTTACGATCTACGGATTACGATGTACTTTACGATATGGAAGGACGAAAGAGAGCCATCGAGAATGTGTGAAATAAACTGTGCGATATTTTCATTTAGAGATGCGTGCTGATTTTTGCTACGCCTCGCTGTACCTTCGCATCTTCCGTTGCATCCCGTGCGTGTCCTGGCGTGAAATTAATAATTATTTGTACAACGACAGCTGGCGGGACGTTGCGCGTTTCGTGCGAAACATATTTCCAGCGCGATGCAAAAAGCGCTTCCGATATCTTAACACTTAGACTGTCACCTAAACATAACGATATATACGGATATCGGTTTTAATATCTGATAATTTGAATAAATTTAATAATTTTATGAATTATTTATAGAGACATTGAATGTGAAAACATCAAAAACATCATTTATAGCAATAAATTTATAGCAATAAATGATGTTTTTGATGTTTTCACATTCAATGTCTCTATAAATAATTCATAAAATTATGAAATTTATTCAAATTATCAGATATTAAAACCGATATCCGTATATACCGTTATGTTTAGGTGACAGTCTAAGTGTTAAGATATATATAGTAAAAAAAAAAAAAAAATGAACATTATAGATTTATTATGCAATGATAAAATTTGCATATATTTTTCGTGATATCTTGAGGAACGATCCTCGTATAATTGTGGTTGTTATGTCAGTTTCTCAAGAGTACTTGTATTAGATAACATACGAGATATGGAATACGTACGGAAGGTTAGAAGATTCCATCATCCTTTTGTTAGACACGTGGTTTGTCTCGTATTTTGACTGTATATATAATTGCGTGCGTTGCGACTTTGAGTCACGTAGACTTTAAGCTCGTATCAGACTACCAACTACCAAATTGTGAAGACCGACCTGACTGCTAACTGCACGGAGAAAATATTGTGATAGAAATTAGCGTGAAATTTTGTAATGCTGAACCATATCGGAATTATGACTGAAATTATTATGTGTGTTGTAATCCTTAGTGACGTGTACAATGAAATACATCATTAAAGATTATAAGATACATAATAATTTTATTTATAACTCCGTGTGTTAATCGACTAATCACAATGAGGCGCTGACTAACTGGATCGACTAATTCACGTTTAGATTCTAAACAATTTAGAGTCAAAACGCGAATCGGGAGTCGGGTTGGCCTTCACAGTGAATAGTTTGGTATGGACTTACAGTCCACAGGACCTAAAGTCGCAATGTATACAATTGATACAGTCTTTCGAAATTAGTTGGATAATCTAAGTGTTGAGGGAGATTCCTGTCTAAACGACGAATTTTCAGGCAAACTTGGACATTTTTTTCTTTAAGCTATTGGACTTATGAATATGAGATTTGTCACACGTATTTAACTATATTTCAACGCATCCGCAACCGATCGATCCACCTTTCTCTCGATGATTGCTGATCGGCCGACCAACTTAATTTTTGGACGATCCCAGGGAGAATGATTATTTTTACTCGAAGATGTTACTATATTAACTCTCGTATGTCGCAAGAATTATAAAAATCCAAGTCAAGATATATTATTGCCTTGCTGTTTATGAGACGTATCGAAGCCTGGCAAGGTGCAACTCGCGCGATTGGCTGTGTGTTAACAGACGTTAGCTGAGAATCAGCGAAATAGCCACAATGACGACTAGTTTAGTTTGTCATACAGTCGTACGGCTTGAGGAACGAGTCAAGTTCATTAAAATCATGCGACGCATTCCGACGTCTCGTCAGATTTTTTTTACCCGACGTGCTTCATTTACGTTTTTTGCTCGGTATCGTGCTTCTAATTCCTTTAATCACGTAATAACGCACTTAATCACACTTGTGTTCATGGTTCATGGAGCGAGTAGACGGATGGAGGAGGAAGGGGGGTCCCCTTACATCCGAGCGAAAAGATTTTTTTAATTTTTTTCATGAATGACGTGCATCCATCCAGGTATTCGGTCATGAATTATTCAATTCTCCGTTTCACGTAATTTTGAGTTTATAATTCAGTGAACGCGCCTCTGGTGACTTCGATCTTGATATATGGTTCGGTGTTACGTGCGTAAATGTCATCGAAAGTGTATATTCTCCGATATAAATATATATACGATTATTATTTTCGGATTATTCAAATCACACGTGCATTTGAGAGCGCGGCGAAAGAAAATAGCAGTGAGTTCGGGAGCTCGAAATGTATTCGTCAGTGCGAGGATGCTGGTCGAACCCTCGCAACAACCTCCATTTTTTCGGCGGGAATATACGGACTCCAATAAAGCGAGTTTATTCCGAAAACTGTTTTCATTAATCTGTAAATAAAATCTAGAACCAAATCAAATTAAATAAGATGAATGAAAGTAACTAAATAAAATCTAAGAAGTAAAAAAAAACGAAAGTAAATAAAGTAAATAAATCTGTAAATAAACACTGTAAATGAAACACTTGAATTGGCTATCGAATCTGCGCCACGTCCTTCATGGATCCGTTTCCCACGTTTCATCGAGCATTTCAGGTCTCTTCTTCAAGGTGAGAAAAGACCTGAAACTGGTACTCTGAACCCGATAACCTGGAACCTAGTTTCGGGTTATTTAATTTATAAATAATGCCAATCGAGGAATAAAAATCACACACTTTCCTGATTTACCTCTTCTCTAATGACTAAGACTCTGCTTCTGTGTCTGTGTGCACGTGCATACAATGTTACAAAGTTTTATTCGATAAAATCTTTCCGAGAAGAAGACGAGAGAGCGCGATTTAAACGAATACTCCAACCCCGTTGACACCGTTGCTTTTTATCTTCCTGAGCACTTTGCATACAAATGCAGAGACCAGGTAATAAATCTAATCCCCTTCCCGATGAAAGAAGGAACAAGAGAAAAGCGTGTACTTTGCGACAAGCGATTCGTAGAAGACGGTTTTAACATTATGTAGATTAGAACAAAACGTCTTGCGAGCGAGTGCGTCACCGAGATGACGGCACCTTGTCATCGAAAATTTATCGATTCTCGATCTTTGCGCACCGGTCATAGGGAGAGAAAAATAATTGCGATGCGTCATTGGAGCCGTTCTCGCCGATGCCGCGGCGTTTTCCGGAGAGTGCGAAGGTTCAAGGTGCCGAACAACGAAGTGGACATCGCAAGATGAATTCGTTCCCACTTCGATACGGAGCGACGATCGAGGTGCTACAGCATCGATTCACGCGTATATAAAGACAGGTGTCGCGGCTTACGTCCGTACAATTGCTTCTGCCTGTGAATAATACGCACTTAGAGGTGAGGTTTCATCGCGGCGCAACGTCTTCGTGATCGAGAGACGTCTGTCTTAGACGAACGACGTCGATTTCTACATTTACGTTGTGGCATTGTGTGTATTGCGAGGCGCGATCTCGCTTTTCGCCTCGAGATCAGAGACATTCGGTTGTCGATTTTCGTGAAATTTGCGATTTGCTGTTAAAGAGTGCTTATCGATATTCGCGATATTGCGATTCAAAGTGTTTTTCTTTTTTTCTTTTCTTCCTTCCAGTTTATTTCTTCAAAATTCTCATTAAATAGACACTGCAATGTGCGAAATAATAACGTATCTTGGTGATGGATGCTCATTTCTGTGTTCACGGGTTGTTATAATTCACGTTTTGTAGCAGGACTGTGCGCACTTGAAAAATATGTTTACGAACATCGCGGTACTCGTTGCGACGCTTCGCAATTTTTCCGATTGTGCGTTTTAATTCCTTGCGCATTTTGCAGCCATGAAGTTCGCATTGGTGTGTCTGCTCACTGTCGTGGCTGTTGCGTACGTGTACGCACGACCGGAGGAGTACACGCATAGGTTTGACAGTATAAACATAGATGAAATTCTACAAAACGACCGATTACTGAAGCGATACGCCGACTGCCTGCTGGACAGAGCCAACGGCAAATGTCCCGCTGAAGCCGTTGAACTGAAAAGTGAGTGAAAGCGAAAGAAATATATAATTTTATTAATATATTCACAGTTTATTAATATTAACGTTTTAGTGTTTATTCAGTATATAATTTAATTTATTTTTCGTTTAGTTATACATTTTAGTTTAGATCCATGTATTTTAATTTAATCGAAAAGAAAGGGAAATATAAAAGGCAAACAAGAGCTTCGGGTAAAGATTATTCTCCGATTATTTAGAGACTTAAGACGTTTGAATTTATTATTTCTATTTAAGCAATTTTTATCTTCTTTGTTTTCGCGTCTCAATACTTGATTATGTAAGCTTAAACACACGTTGTATACATCAACTGTCTATCCGTTTGAAATAATTGTGTTTGCTTTGTGGGCTTGGTTTTGGTTTTTATAATTTCACTTTTATTTATTTATTCTCTCGATTTTTTACTTTTAAATGTAATAGATATTTTTTACCGATTGCTCAATTTCCATTTTGCAGAGGTCTTAGGCGAAGCGTTGGAGACCGAATGCGCGAAGTGCAGCGATCACCAAAAGGAGATGGTGAAGAAGGTGATAAAGTTTATAGTCATTAATAAGCCGGACATCTGGAGCGATCTGAAGGCAAAATACGATCCGGAAGGGAAGTACACGAAGAAATACGAGGATATGGCTAAGCAAGACGGCATCCAACTATAATAGGCGTTGAAGAAAAACAGAAATGATGTCGCGTCATTATTATTAACGTAGCACTTGTTTTATTGCCTTCCCGTAAACGACAAAATTAATATGTATAACGTGCGTATGCAAATAAAATATTGCCTGTAGCATATACGTCATAACACACACATGTATTCCACACGCGTTTATTGCCGATCGTATCCGCGATTGGTCGTCCCGCGTCCAGCCACCGAGATGTTTTTTTTCGTCGATCAACGTTTATCTCGATTATACGACGGAGGTAGTGTAACACGTAGCTATGGTTCCAAGAAACAAGAACAGCTGTTCGTCGAATGGAAGATTTCGATGCTTGCGGCGTCGCGCGTGGCTAAAAGCTTCCGCGATGAACAGCCGTCACAAGTCGTAATGGCACATCGTCACTTCGGTCGATCTATGATGACTCCTGAAATTTATTTATGATCGTTTCCTTACGACCTTCCGACGACTTATATTTCTTGCTTCTTTTGTAACGCTCGGAAAAAATGCCGTCGGTGTAACTGAATTTTCCGTTGCCAGCCCGGAAGCATCGCATGTGCAATCGAAATGGAATCGAAATAAGAAAGTCGATCCCACGTCGATTCCACCGACGTTCCCATGGAGTGGGGACCGGATAAAAACTCGATTAAAGAAACAGAAAGATTCCTGTGGGAAATTTCTGCTCGGTTGATCGTCCTCAGTTCGGTCTCAACCGAGTCCCGATGCAGCTGAATGTTCTCAGTCGCGGTAAGATATCATTTCTTGTCACCGAGTTTTTCATCTCTTATTATCGAGTTTTCATCTAGCTCCTATTCCAGTTGCAAGGTGACCGAGTTTTTTTTCCTTACGTATTTACATGTTAACTACCCGGGCAATTGAGGGAAGTCGTCAGTGTTCGGCGCCGCAATACTGCCGCGTCTGATTTACCTGTGAAACGTTATCCTCATTGCATACAACGAATAAATTATACAGCTAATAAAGAGTCTAGGAGCCGGACGAGCTAGCGAATATACGTGTGTCGTAAATTATTGCATCTGTTCGCCATATCTTCGACGAATTCCAACTTGAGTCGAACATTGAAATACGACGACAATAAAATACGATGATGAAATCAACGTAACGGTCCACGCTTTAACGGGCTAAAAGTTCGACAGCTTCCGAGTCGAACACCTCTCGTCTCGGTCAGAAAAGAGCGGCGTATTCCTCCGCCTCGTCGTCCGTCTCGCCGTCCAAATCCGCATAGCAGGCGTAGCAGATCTCGCCGACGTCGCGCCAACACTCGTGGCAATGGACGAAAGGACAGCCGGGTGTCGTGCACCTGCGGAACTCGGGACCTCTCCTCGGCTCCGTTTCGCCGCAGACGAGACACCTGTGACGCGCCCAGGCGAAGAGTACCAACCAGCCGCAGAGCTTCGGCCAGCGCTGTCTCAGAACGACCCACGGATCCAAGTGGTACTCCAACCGGCGCGTCCTCACCATAGCTCTGACCTTGGCACGCATGAACTTGGCGTGGCCGAGTCTGCGTCTCAGGCTCTCGTTGTAGAGGTAAAGCACCCGTCTCTTCTCGCGCCTCCTGTAGAAGAACGAGCAGACGACGCGCCGCAGACGCTGGGTGTACGCAGCGGTGAACAGCAGCGCGAACACGCCCAGGTAACTGGAGTAGATCTTGAAGAGCACGCGACGCGGCAGCTTGCTCGGCCGCGGCAGGCAGGCGCTGTTGGACACCACCGTCTTCACGCGCCTCTTCACGTTGAACCCTCGGACCACGCTGCGTATCAGAGCCGCGATCATGCCGGTGCCGCGAACCTCCAAGCTCACGTCGTGATGGCCTGTCTGAAGGAGTCGAGTCTACGGTCCCAGTTTTCGCGAGGAAACGTATGGAGGTGTCCCTCGTCGATTTTGCGACTCCGGATCTTGGACATATTGTAGAGCTGCTGAGAATATAAGAGAGACGCGTATTCATATCGTGTCTTATATTTCCGTCTATTTTACCCCAGGTTTGGGTAAGTCAGTTTTTATTTTTAACTGAGTTAAGAGCCTACGGCTGGTAAAATTAATTTATTAATGTTAAGAGTTAATTATGCAAAGCCATGCACATGTTTATGTATGTATGCTTTTTTGCATAATTGATTAAATGTAACTAATAATAAATGAAATACTTTTTCACATACCTCACGATTTCAAAAGTGTTCCTTTGAGAGGTCGTTTCAACCCCTGAACGTGAAAAGCACGTAAAAAAATAGATATATCTTCTTTTCAGCTGCTCCGGAACATATCCAAGGATCCTATCTCAGGATCAAGAAGGGACGTTTCCATATGTTTCCTCGGTTAACCCGGTGAAACGTGACACGGTAAGTTTCCGGAAAGACATAGTAGAATACCTGTGGAAAATCCTTCAGAACATAGAATCACCTCATATTTACTATTTTTGCAGTGTCGAGAATAACGAAGATAGTTGCCTGCATATACTCCATGTAAGCGTGTTTTCTGACCAAGTTGAGCGCCTCGTAAAAAAGCCTGTCTATCAGCAGAAACGTAGAAACACTGATCACCTCGAGGATTAGTTTCACCATTTGCCCGATCAAGTTCACCCGTTCGACCTTGCTCGGCCGCAGGCTATACGGATCCACGAACTTCAACCTCTCGATCTTCTTCAGAGGCAGCAGAGTCAAGCTGCCCCGAGCCTTTCTCCTAGCGTCGATCTTGCGAAAGTACGACGTCACGTATATATTATCGTGCTCAATCTCAGTTAAATATTTGTCGTGGTATGATTGAGCGTTCAGGATGACCCTCAGGAACACGAAGGACAGACACCTGCACAGGTACGTGAAACATATTTTATATTTGGAGTTTTCTATTATCTTGCGAGAACCAAACGAAAACTCGATTGTAGAAATAGAGAGATTTCCTGTAGGAGACTTCCATTCAGTCAATTGCCTTCAGTTGTGTCAACCGGATTTTAATGCAGCTGAATGTTCACACGAATGTTCTCAGTCGCGATAACAGAAATATTATTTACTGTCACCGAGTTTTCATCCGGTCCCTATTCAATCGAAGTATCTGACAATGAGATTTTTTCCGTGTATGTTAATATTATTGCTCTTCGCAAAGTACATCAATGCACCTGTGAAGGCAGTAGACTCATAAAAAAAAAAAAACTTCACACCAAAGTTTTTCTTTAATAAATAACAAGTCTAATAAATGTAATAAGTAAATAATACGTATAAATCTGTAAATAAATAATTCTAATCTCTATTATAGCTCAAGTCTTCACCTCAACACGCTGACTGTTGCGTTGATCGCTATTGATATAAAAACCCACAAACTCATAGCTGAATTGCTGAAGGTGAACAAATGTAACTCGAGATGTGTACACCATTTTATCGACTCTTTATTCTAACCAATCTTATAGACGCAATTAATTATACTTATATAACTTAACGAGAATCTTATTAAATAATTTAATGGCGGCATCACAGTATCGGTCATCGCGTTGAAATGTCATCGCGTTGAATGTTCACGCGTTGAAAAGTCGCGTTGAAGAAATCGATGGTTGTACCTTTTGATAATCGTCATCACTGATTCGAGGACCTTCTTGCGCGCGTTGAAGTCGTGCATCACGGCCTGCGCGGCATCCGTGGCGTCGTAAAGGTCGAGTTTCACCGAAGGCTTCTGGATTTTGTACTGCAACTTCGCCTCCCTGAGACTCGTGCCGAACGTATCTCTGGCTCCTTCACGAAGCAGACAATATCTTGGGAAATACTGCGAATTTGATGCAGCGCGATCGTCTCCTAAATTTCCAACTACGCGATCTCAAATAACATTTGTTCACTTTTTAGAGCGACGTAGCCCTCGCCGATGCCGGAATCCACCTTCCCCTTGGGGTCGCAAATTTTGGAGCCGCCCAAGGCCTGCACCAGATTGCACACGAAGGTGAGTTTCATCGGCCAGCATAGCAGCCAGGCCGCGAAGACTGATACTTTTTCGTAACACTTGTCGTAAGTGTCGGCGAACATGTCTCTGAAAAACGTCGCCACGCGTCATTTTTTGTTTAGAGTCTCTCTTTGAAATTTTCTCTCTCTTTGTCTATTTGAAACTTCTCTCCCTCCCTCTCTCTTTTTCTGTTAATATCTCTAAAATATTCTTTTTCCCCTATTAATATTCTTTTGAGATACTCTTTATTACTCATCGGGTAAAATCATTATTATTCAAAATAATTATTACGTAATAGCAATTATTATTATTATGATATCTAGGGTAATTCTGATTCGATATCTTGCCTGCAGCGTTCCGCGCCGCGACTAAGCTGCTCTTCGCAGCGCGCCTCGGTCTTCCTCTTGTACTTCGCCTCGTAAACATCCGCCTCAGACTTCGCCTTCGCGATCTCTTTTTCATGTTTCTCCTCGATCTCGTCGCTTCTCCTAGTATCGTCCTGAAGCTCGTCCAAATAATCGTTCTCCTCTTTCAATCGCCTCATTTCCTCCTCGCCCTCGATTTCCTCGACTATCGGGCTCATCACATCCTTCACCGACGATAAAATATCCTTTAACTCGCTTGCGTCCGCTTTCATGGCCAACACCGCCTGTATCGTACGGGAATTTCGATGAAGCTCGACATCGTCGTGATTGCGCGCATCACCTTGACTCATTCGTCAAGCGGATAACATTCCTCTCCACGCTGATGACGTGTCATTCGAATGGACACGTGGATCGTAGTCTGCCCCGTGGAATTCTAAATTTCTCATTGTATATATTTATGAGCAGGGCAGATACTTTCCTCCGAAGGCTTCGACACTCGAATTTCGAGTTCTTCAAAGACTTGAAAGCCTCGGTGTTCAATATTTGAAATGTGAAAATATCGAAGCTTCGAAACGCGAAGATTGTGACCTTTGAAGATATTTCACCTTCGAGGCTTTGGCTTACCAAAAATTCGAAGTTTCCTTCGAAGCTTTGAATCTTCCTGAAGCTTCGAAATTATCGAAAAATATCCAGGTGGAACAAAAAATGACAATGACGTCAAAATGATGTCAAAATAACATCAAAATGGTGAGAAAGCTAATTTCTCGGTCATTTTCTCGTCATCATTTTGGCGTCATTTTGACGTCATCGTCACTTTCTATTCTTCCAATAGGGTAATAGCCCTATTCACCATTGTAAAAATTAGTGTTGGTTTTAGAGCTAATAAGAAAAGATACCTGCTGGAAAGGCCCGAACATGAGATCATAGCGCGTCTTGCTGAGATTGTACGTGAGCTGCACCGTACAAGCGAAAGTCCTCACCACTTCTTTACCGTTGTACGTTAAATTAAATATCGGGCCCGCAATTATGTATCCCAAGACGAGCGCTCTTAAGACGTTGCGCCCAGATCGGCCGAGGAAAGTCGGGATCGTCAAGAGGCAGATACACCTTATCTATTCGGAACAACGAAACGTCAATTTGGCCACTTGAAACGCAGAGAAACGCAGTATACCTTTCACGAGAACAGAGTTATACAAAGAACGAGGCGCAAAACAATTGGGAGAGCGTTTCTCTTGTAGAAAGCAATGTCCGTTGCTGTCACCCTAAACTTCACGTCAAGTAAAAGTACAATAAATCGAGGGAGAAAGTGTCTTTCCAGAAGAGAAGATTTAAGAAGTCCATCGCTTTTTCATACAGCGACAGACTGAATCTCGATGTCGAGGTGCTCGATGTGAAACGAGCGAGATCACCTGTATCGACGACGCGCATCCTATCGATAACATCGCAACGAGAATGGCTCCCAGAATGGCACTGGTGTACATATCAAATTGTAGATCGACGATTATGCCCTCGTATAGAACGACAGCTGCGCTGAATCCGAAGAGAAATCCGACGAAGGCCCTCGCTTTCCGATGAGTGCCGATTGGATCGTAGCAGATGTGGAAGAGGGTTGGACACTTTTTCAGATAATATTTCAGAAAATCCCTCCGCGCTCCTTCGATCAGACGACCGCAGCGATTAATCCGCTCCAGGCCAGGCATAGCGCTTCCTTCCTCTCTTCTTCTTCTTCTTCCGCTGCTTTTTTCTCTTTCTTTCCCCCCTTCTTGTTTTATTTATTTTTCGCGAAATCCACGGCTCTTCGTTGAATAAGCTACTTTGTAGCGGATTATGAAACGCGAGACTCCCCTGCGGGAAACTCTCTCTCGGGGTTAGTCTCTGAAGTGAGACGAATCTGGGTGAGAGTGTCGATTCATAGCGTATGTACATATATACGATTACGTATTCCATTTCTCGAAAGTAGGACGTAATGATAATTACGATGAGATTGCGACGGTGATTACACCAAAGAATTTCCGCGAATCGATCCTCGCGGCATCATAGCTGACCGATACCGTGTTACAATTACTGGCAATTTAGACGAGGACGAGGATGCTTCGGGGGATTTACATTTACGCATTGAGGAAGTTTTTCGAGAACGGATGGATAACGAGAAGCTGACACGGCCGTCCTTTATGCGAGTCATCCGAGAGCCGAAGGTCGCGTCACGTAACGCATCGCGTACGGAATACCGAGAAAGGAATTGGAGCACGAGGAGAACTCCTCGCACGTGTGACGCAGGAATTCTTCGCCCGCCGTGCGAGTTTTTCCTATTTGCACGTTTCATCTGCACTCGACATAAATAATTCGATAAAAATAGAATTGGAAATTTAATTGCCAACTCGTTGTAAATAGTGAATATATTTGGGATTTTTTTTTTTCAAAATGAAGCTTAAATACTTTTTGTTTTTATTTAGTAATACTTATAATAATAATAGCTTTATATTAAAACTTGTACCTGGCTTTAACCCCAGATGAACGTTACAAAGTTCCTGAAAGTTACAAAACAGTAACATGATATGAACAATTAAGCACATAGAAATTAAGAATACAGCTTAAAAATTAGATTTAATGTATGCAGTGGAAGCCTTTTGGAAGAAATATAAGAAGGATAAAAAGAGAATGTTGGCTGGTAATGAGTTATGATAGTGATTAACAGTACGAAAATCAACTGGAGACAAAGAAATGATCAACGATAGTTTAATCAACTGGAGACGAAAAACCAATAAGAGCTAACGCAAAATATAAGTTGTGAAACTCAGTTAATCTATAAATGTAATAAAACATAGGGTGTCTCAAATAGACTCCTCTAAGAATGATCAAAACTTGAGATCCATCTGATAATTCACTTCTTATTTCATTTATACACAGGAAAAAGTGCGCGATTACTTCTGGAACAGAACGACAATCGCAATTTGATATTACTTTGCGCACTTAATTTCTACCAACGCAGCAAATTTCTAAAGGATCTTAAAGGCGTCTAAAGACGTCCTAACTTGTTTTAGACATTTTTATAAGTTTATGCTGTCTAGATATATACTTGAAGGAACGGAAAAATTCGCATTGCTCGACACAGGAAGCGTTCTTCTCATTGTCGTGTGCGCGATATTTTCCTCGATAAATTATGGCGATCGTTGGTCGCACGAGGACGATTTCGTGCGACTAACGAACCGTATCATGCTCCTTATAAGACATCCGAACTAACGAGCTCCACGAGCAGTGAATCGGTAGTAACGCATCGATCTCGTTCAGGACGATGAAGTACCTAGCTGTTGCACTTCTCACTGTATGCGCCCTCTCCTCTCCCGTTCTCGCCGACGAGGGCCAGTACACCACGAAATTCGACAATGTGGACGTCGACGCGATCATAAACAGCGAGAGGTTGCTGAACGGATACGTGGGCTGCCTGCTCGATCGGAATCCATGCACTCCGGATGCGGCGGAATTCAAAAGTGAGTTTATCTTATTTCCCGATTTTGAATATATTATGCTGTCTGGGTATCTACATTAAAAATTTACGATTATATTCATTGTTGTTCCTTCTGAGAATTTATGTTGAATAAATATATAAATTTACAATAAAACAGTGTTTTTTAAGCGAAATTTCTTTAGTCTATTTAATTTAATTAAATCTTGGTTCTTAGAATTATATATTTACTTCATCTAATCACATTATTTCATAATTGTTGCCAAACATTCGGCCCACAATATTTCACAAAATTATTTAGTAGCAGCTACCAAAATTGTTATAAGTTACCAAATCCTCCTTTCGTATACGTTATGTTAGACACCTAGCATATAAATAGCATTTTTCCCAAATTTATAGATACTATTACCGTAAGAAAATTCAATTCCAATTAAATGCAACTAAATCTTGATTAAAAACATCATCTAATTATCTTATTAACTTATACAAACTTAATATAAACTTATTAATTAAATACATAATTTCAAACATAACAAATTCAACATAATTATCAAAACATTTTGTACACGTATTGCCCAAGAATTGCTATATAATTTTTTACACCGTTGAAAATCAATGTTACCAAAATGATATTATAATTACATACAACAGTTTTAAAATATTAGATCAACAATCTGTTGATTTAATGTTGGCTTGTGTAAGACAGCCGATGAAAGATAGTCTCGTTTCTTAGCGGTCAAATTGAAACAGCCGACTAACAATATATTCATGATAGAGAATCTACCGGATGCGTTGGAGCACGACTGCGCGGGATGCAGCGAGGCGCAAAAGAACGCGGCCGACAAGATCTCTCACCATTTGATCGACAACAAGCAGGATGAGTGGAGACTATTGGAGGAGAAGTACGATCCTACCGGGGCGTACCGGCGACGTTACCTGGAGAACAAATCCAAGGATGGAAGTGGTTTCGACTAGGTCGTCTTCGCCACCGGTCGTCGAGATGTCGATATCGATGCTGACCTTGGCTATTCTTTCCGGACCCCCGATTGCTTTGCCTCGTGATCTTCGTTGTACGGCAACTTTACGTAACGGTTGCGCAACGAAAAGACATTCTTGTACACATTGAGAAAGGATCGGGCTGGGTGAGCGCGCCCGGGCCTTTCCAGCGCGACATTTCCGCGTCGATTCGCACGATTTTGCCCGTTGTCTGGAATTTCATCTAATTCAACGGATTCGAGGAGCTGTGTGCGTCCGCCACATGTAGACGAGAACGTATTCGCTGGTTTATAAAAATTGCCCCATCGAAGCACATCGTGGAGAATCGCGATAGAGAGTATTGCCAGATGCGCATGTCGCTAAACAATTCGTCGTAATCGATCGCAATTTTGCACGTATAGGCGAACGAGGCAATTTAGATGCGATTATCCTTGCATAACGGCGAAGAAAGAATTGCGTCTAATCTCTTTTGTTATGTTTCCTCGCGCTGCTGTAATAATTATTAGTCTTCCGCTTTTTACCTCTCGTAAGATGCCAATGATGATTACGCGCGCATAATTATTTACACTTTTCAATCGGGTATGTTAAACACATGAACGCACCTACGCATATGTATCCGACGTTATCGATATTTATATTCAACGATTGTTTAGTTAAACGGATCCCTCTGAGCGCGTTTCGTTCATTATTGTCAGTAATCTCTTCTTTATCGATAGTTGCACTCGAGTATCCGCATTCGTCGGTAGGTCTCGCTTCGCGATTGTATTTCAGTTGCACGTCACGATACGAAGCTTCGCTTGTGCCGGTGTCGAAGTTGATGATGAACTCGAAATCGAAATCGAAATTAAAAAGAAAGCTGAAATTAAAACAGAATCTAATCGCTTTCCTCGGCCTGTTTCATTTATTCCCCCCTCAACTTCTTTTTTTCATGCTTCGATTATAATACAATTGTTATAACATCGTAACATTATGCACTGTAATGTCGCGTGTAATATCACGTAAGTCGGATGCAGGCGATAAAATTATCGTTCGCTATAGTTTATAATTAAATATGACAGATTTAGGCGGAAGAGACAGCGACGCTGAGCGCGGTGACAGCCCAACGAAGGGATTATCTCGCGCTATCAGCGGAAACGCAAAAGCGACGAAAGGAAAGGCCGATCGGGGAGATCTCTCGGGCGATGTTTTTTTCTGTAGCTTCGAATTACCAAAAATATCTCTCATGACCCGGATATTCGGCAATTGACGCGGGTGGTCATCAGGACAACCCTCGGCCTGTTTCTCGGAAGCTCCGAGGGTCCGAAATAAAAAACCGAACGCGTAATAAATCCGTGGCTACCGAGAGTCGCTACCGAGAGCACCGCGTAGGAACCGTATTGTCCGAGAAAGAAAAGAAGAGGGAAAGACACCGGGAGCTCGTAGCGACAACCGTTGCATCGTCGTTCCGCTCGCGCGATCCACCGAAGAACGAAAAGAGCCGGAAACGGAGAATCCGAGCCGATCGTCCCGGTGAAGATGCGCGAGACACGGGACGGACGGACAAGTGTCAACGCGCGATCGATCGATCATCCTTCCATAATAGTAACGTTCCGGCGCTCGATCGCGGATCGTGGCGCGCGACTCCGACGATTACCGCAAATTATACACCGATCTCCGTAAGCGTGACGTCATCCGCGAAAGCTCGAAAAACGATTTGGATCGGGAGCGAGCCTCGTGCGGTCTCGTGATTCGATCCTCCATGAGAGCAGCACGTGTTTGTACGTACGTAGGTACCAACACACATGGTTGCGGAAAAGATAGAGAAAGAGAGAGAGAGAAAAAGGGAGAGAGAGAGAGAAGGGGAGGGAAGGAGAAGGGGGAAGGAGAGAGAGAGGAAGAGAGAGAGAGAGAGAGGAGTGCTTGCACACCTTCTCGCACGGTAACAGGCAGGCGGCTATCGTGGTTATTAAGGAAACAGACGAAGGAACGAAACGAACGAAGGAACAAGCGCGTTGGGTGGTCTCGCCCCGCTGTTTATGGGGCACTGCATCTGCTGGCCCCGTATAACCCTCCGCGCGAGCGCGCGCGACCTGTGTGGTCCCACCTTACGTCCGACTTTACATTCGATTCACTACTTGCTAATGGTAGCCGCATTAGCATTAGGTGCCTGCCGCCTGTCTCTCTCTCTCTCTCTCTTTCTCTCTCTCAGCTGTTGTGCAATTTTTCGTCGCCGAGCAGCCGGCGGCTGTTGCCCGCGTCGCGCGAGATCAAGATCGAAATCGAAATCAAGATCGGGATCGAGGTCGGACGACGACGACGACGGCGGCTTATTCGAGCGTGCGTGGCCGTGTGCGTGTCGCATTCGGCAAATTCGTGAGCGACGAGCCTAGATTAAGTTGACGCGGGAGGTCCGTCGTGCTTGTCAAGCGAGGTTGAAAGCGAAATTATACGGTTTCCAAGTGGAAATGCTCGCTCCGCGTGTAGCATACATACACATACGTATATACACGCGCGCACGCATGTATACGTGTATACATCTGAAAGCCGGCCTCGGTTATACGAGATAATTGCCGCCGACGATAACGATACCACGCACTCGCTACGGAATCGTATAAACGGGAATCTCTCCCGATATCTTCATTCATTCGAAGAATGCAAACGAGTTTTAAGCGTGGCCGTACGCTCGCTAACGGAGCGGCTTAAAACCATACCCGTGTGTATGTGTGCAGTGGATGGGCGCCGCGGCGTGCGAACGAGGCCCGATATGACCGTGTTACCGATTGGTCACGGGTGTGGGTGCGCCATATGTGCGACCGTTTCAAACGAGCTACCTGTCTTTAAGTAGCCTTAATGCAGGATCTCTTTCTCTCTTTCTCCCTCTTCCCTCCTCCTTCCCCCCTCTCTCTCCTTCCTCGCTCTCCTCTCACCTTACCGAGAATCTGAATGGATTTCGGGAATCGGATAAATTTCTTATTTTTCTCCGACGAGTGCGGCCGAAACACGCGCGAAACGTATATCGATTAATCGAGCGATTCGACGACCGCTCGTGCCCGCCCCGAATGCATCATCTTCTTCCCGCTTGCACTTCGCGCGCGCCATCGCGAAACGGTCGATGATTCGGAAGGTCGATCTCGGTATCGTATCGTTGAATCCGACCGGGCTGCCGCCGCCCGCGGGGTGAAAAATACTTGCGCGGCCAAGCATGCCGCGCACTCGATCGGTCTCGATGGAGAAGGCATCGATCTCACCATTGATCGATCGGCCGGCCGGGGCCTCGGATAAGATACTGTCGTCGTTCTGGTCCTGTCCTACTCATCGTTCGGACCACACGCGTCTTGTCGCCTTTCTCTCCTCGTTCTCTCTCCCCGTTCTTTCGCAATAGATCCACTCGAGCCGCGTATTTTTTTGTCCTCGGTGGTATATACCGAGGACCGCGATACCTCTCGATTTATCCTCGCGCTACTCGAGGTGTTTCGACTTTCCGCTCACCTCGTTGCGATCCTGTGCCACTCTCGCATTTGGTAAGAAGAAATGAGAGTACACGATTCGCCATTGCAGCCTTAGGCCCGTTCTTTTTAGCCGAGCTACGCCGCACTTTTTGCCGGTGGAGCGAAATAAGTATATAACATAGCATTGAAAGGAATGAAATTCCACCGTAGTGTTAGTCAAAAGAAAACATACTTTTTAACATATCTCCCCAGGTGGAACAGAAAATCACGATGACGTCAAAATGATGAGAAAATTACTATAATAACTCACTTTTCGGTCATAATTAGGTTATATTTTATGTCATTTTTACGTTGTTATGATTTTCTGTTCTTTTTAAATCTCTCTCTCTCTCTCTCTCTCTCTCGCTCTTGGAATCTTATCTGTAGGCTAACCCTCCTAACACATGAAGTTAGATACCGTTACCGGTAACGAGAGATCGAGAATATTAGTAGAAGTCGACCTAACCTCGCAAACCGATAGATATCGATAATCTCTCTCGAGTCTCCGTTACGCAGATCGGCCATGTCAAGGTAACGTCACGGCGCGTACGTTTCATTCCTGGTCGCGTCCCTCGGTCGCATTTGCAAAATCGATTCCCGGAATAAAAGGGCGCGCTCGAGCCGAGTTAAAATGAAAATTTCGGCCTCCGTCGCGCGCGCGCTCACTCGCGACCGAGCGTCTCTCCTTCGGGGAACGAGGACAAGAGACAACTTGTGACTCCTTCGGACGAGCGGAGAGCAGGAGAAGGGGGAAGGGGGCAAGTTCCCCTCTACCAGCAGCAGCAGCAGCGAGAGGGCCACCCACGTCGAGGGCGCAAAGGCGATATTTAGCGGAAGGCAAATCTCTCCTGGACCACCCACGTCGGCTCCTCGTCGCCGGAGCCTGGGCTACCTTATTTCAGGGTGCGCTGCGCCGTGTCGCTGTGTGGGTCCCTGGCAGCACGAAACGAAACGCACAGACGGGCCTCCTCTAGCGGGTATGTCGATCCGCTCGAATATCGCCGCGCGATTCGCAGGCAATTTCCGATTAGCTCGCTACGATTTTCTCTCCTTGCTCTCTTTCTTCCTCTCTCTATCCCCCCTCTCTCTCTCTCTCTCTGTCTATCTTTCGTACTGGCGAGACGTTAGTCTCGCTGTACAGCACAATATCTACACACGAGTTCGAAACGTTCGCCGATGATCACTTCGTCTGTTTCTCTCTCTTTCTCTTTCGCGTGCCGGAATCGTCGTTTACGGATTTACGCGACGGAGCGACGCGTTTGCGGCGATTTTGGTGGGCTCTCGAGCTCACTCATGTCCCGGAAGGATCGACCGTAAACGACGCTATCGTAAAGACTCCGTGTGCCGTCTTGTAAAGCCATTCTCGGCTCGCACTACCCCGCGACGCAACTCGCCACTCTCGCGACTCTCCGATCGCTCGGGGATACGTCGTTACCGATGCTACGCGTTGTTCTCTTCGGTAAACGCCTCGAAAAGGGTGCGATGAAACGCGCGAAGAGCCAGATATCAGCGGTATCGTCGAGCAACGTGGAACGTGATCTGTCGTCTTGCGTAATGAAGATGAAGAAAGCAAGGAAAAACAGCTTTCTTCGTTACGTTCCGCGTCGTTATTTTTCATGTCGTCGTCCGATCGCGTCAATTTTACAGATCGTGTAAGAGAGAAAGAGAGAGAGAGAGAAGAGAGTTTCTTCTAGATAGCACGGTATGACGATATGCCCTCGCAGGACCTCGGGTATCCTGCCCACGTCTACACGCACATACACGGTGCTACGTTGCCCGGAGTATCACGAGCAACGTAGCAGTATTCGATCTTCTTTCTCCTCACTCTCCTTTTTCTCACTCCTCTCTTTCCACGAAGGAAAGAAAGGCGAGGACCGTACAGCCCAAAGGCTGGAACGGAAGAGAGAGAGAGAGAGGAGTATGTCGCTAAAGAGAAGAAGAGGGAGAAAAGGAGATAGATAGACGGGTGGGAAGGCGGGAGGAAGGGAGTAGAGAGAGAGAGAGAGAGAGGAGTCGACTACTTCCTTACGCAAGACGACTGCGTTCAACGGTGCGTGCACACGAGAGATGCTATCGGCCACCAAGACGGCACTCCGGACTTCTCTGGACCACCCACCGACAAAATAATAAACACGGAATGCGACATACGCGTCCGTCCATCCGCCCGTCCGTCCGTCCGTCCATCGTCCTGGCTCGTTCACCCGTTCGCTTGCTCGCTCTCGCTCGCTTTCTATTTCGCAGATACCATCCAAATTGAAATCTACTAGTAATCCGCCCCCGCGCTCCGTCTTGTCGATTGTTGCGAACGTAACAGAGCATTCTCTGCGAAACGCGGAACTCGGTCGAGATCGCCCGACAACGGCCGTTGCCGGCTATTACCAGCGACAACGCGGTCTCGCA